TTGATCTGAGCCAATGTTGATTGATGAGAGTGGAAAGCCTGCCCGTTGATCTGAGCGACACAATCAATCAAAGATAATTTCAATTTTTGATATCCCAAGATGACACCAAGTGGTCTTGAATCAATGAAGCTAGGTATGATTCTCAGTAGAATGACGGTTTGATGAGGAGTTGATACTGTTGGAGTACCCTTTAGAAATGCTTGATACGAGTTTGAAGCCAGCGGTATAATGTCATTCAACAGCCTTGAGATTTGTTCGAAATGGCTAGAAAGTTTGTGAAATGGAAACTTCGATCAAAAACCTTGAATCAATGTTTACGAAAGCAAATGAAGACAAACCTCTTGACCGACCGTGGATAAGAAACTGAAGCCAAGGAAACATGTGTTTATAATCGAAGACAAGGGATGATGAAGGTTTGGCTTTGAGCCAAGGAAGGAGTGTTGTTTGATACGTGAAGGTTTGGCTTTGATGGAATTCGACGACGTTTATTGATGAGAATCTTGTGGGAAGAAAAATCGAGGTAATTGTGGTTGGTATTGAACGCAAGGGATGATGAAGGTTTGTTGATGAGAATCTTGTGGGAAGAAAAACGAGGAAATCGTGGTTGGTATCGAAGACAAGGGTTGAAGGGTTTGAGAGTGGAAAGCCTGCCAGTTGATCTGAGATGGACTGGGGTGCGGTCCATCTCGGTCCATTTTCCGGTGAGGCGAGTATGGAATGTATGAATAGTACATATGCAGTATTGAGGTGACAGGTGATTTCTAGAACTGTGTCAGTCATGAGTCTTAAGAGAGACAGTTAGACAGGATGAATACTTAAGGTTTCAAATCAAAAACCGGTCAAATTGGGGTTTTTGACTTTGAAGTAAAGTCCAGGAGCAACACATTGGGCTGAAAACTGCCATCTCATTTTTTAGTAGCTGTAAGTAGTCAGGACCAATTTTGCATTGCATATAACGAAAGGGTACATTATACTGGACACCTGTCACTGCGTTACATGTGTGGCAAGCTCACCCCCGTGAGGCTCTTGGAGTTTATGTTAGCTTGAACAAGCCCTCTCTGCGCGGCCACATGCGCGTGCCTCGCAGAGGGGCTTGGGACTAATTGTGAGTTCCTGGCACGGAGACTCCACGAGTTAAGTCCACTTATGTAGTTTTTTGCTTTTTCCTGCTTTCCTCACTGATAAAAACGACTTTACCTTGCAGGAAAAGTTGTTCGTATTTTTGTTCCACATGTGTTTCCATCATGATATCCTGGTTATCACTACTTCATCACCCTGATCATGAGTTGTGTTTTCAAGCTCTTATGTCCCATATGTAAATGAATGTACAGCCTGTATTCGCATCGTACGTGATTTAAACATAAGGATGTGCAAAACATTTGGTGAGTTTGGCGCAGGCAGAAACTAGCGTACAAAAAGCACTGAAACCAGACCACAATACAGGCGGGTGTTGTAAGAATGTTAAAGCCACATCTCTGGCCGCATCAGATAGTTGTCTACAATGAGGCTATGAGGATGTGTAGAACAAAAATATGAACAACTTTTCCTGCAAGGTAAAGTTGTTTTTATCAGTGAGGAAAGCAGGAAAAAGCAAAAAACTACATAAGTGGACTTAACTCGTGGAGTCTCCGTGCCAGGAACTCACGATTAGTCCCAAGCCCCTCTGCGAGGCGCGCGGACGTGGCCGCGCAGAGAGGGCTTGTTCAAGCTAAGAGTTTATGAATGTCCTTTTACTCTCCCAAAAGACATGGTGATGCAAGTCATCCGCGCGATGACCTCTAGGAGGATGATCAAGGGATATCACACCTGTCAACTTGTTGACCCGTAGTGTGAACGAAGGGATAACATCAGCAAGCTCCATGAAGTTACATAATCTCTCCTAGTCGAGGTTGGAAAAGGCGTGGGCATGAAGAATATTTTTCAAGTCTCTTCTTGCAGCTTGAGCTCGCCAAAATTCACGGATGAAGTCCGGTCGAGAATTGTTCAGGACACATCACGAATCTGAGAATTTTCACATCATCTTCGCTCTACAAACCTTTGGTTCAACTCCGTTGTTTTTTCTAAATATATAGTGGGTACTAGTGTCTAAAAGCGTGTAATGTCGGGCCGGCCAAAAAGCTGATTTATCAAAAACTCCATTGTGTGAAAATAACTTTCTCTAGTACTGTAAAAATTGTTACAAACAATATGTTCAATACAATTTTGGATTGCTATTGATGTGAGGATTCCAAATCTGCCCTCGGCATCAAAATTGGATCGATTTTGTGGGTTTTATAAACGTTTTTCTCAAAATACCCGATTTCACGCTTTTAGGCACTACCCACTATAGTTACGTGCTCCCTCATCGTTCAACTGGTCAATCCACCTCTGCTCCGGTCTGATATTGTACCACAACTTATGTTGGTCCCACACCTCTTGGTAGCGACACAAATCTATCAAAGTAGCAAGTTATAGGCGAACAACAAAGAAGATATAAATTGCAAGCCTTTTACATATAAGCTTTGATATCATTCTCACGTTCATTATCCATTCAAAGCTTGTGTACTATCTTGAAAGCGGATTCCGGTCGAAAAATTTCACCGAGCAATTAATAAATACAAATATTCTCACTCCATTGGGCGACACCTGCTCAGTGCTGGGCGATTTGTTTTCTTGTGTGCTTTCTATACTTTCCCACACCTAAAGCGTTCCTTTTTTATTTATTTCGTTTTTTTCTACTTCTTCGCTCCCCCCTCACCCTTACGTCAACGCCGGGGTACATGTTGATCACACTTTAAGACTGTTTATCCTTCATCATTCATTCAAATTTGTTATTTTATTTAATAGCATGAGCTCCAACTCTTGCTTCAGACCACCTCCAGCACTCCTCTTCCCAGTTCCATCATCGCCTTCCACTGAATCTGGTTCCCCTTGCGACTCTGGCTTTCGTAGCTGCTCCAACCCGAGCTCGATTCACGCCTCGGAGGAAGATTTCAGTCGGGAGCTTACCCGAACTTCCTACTCTGGTGTCAAAGTTCATTTAGTTCCTGGCATGCTCTCTGACAGCTCTGACCCACATCAAGCTCGTACCCGCGCTATCACCATGCCATCCGACACCACCGCTCCACTGAACATATCACGCAAATCATCTGCCCTTTCAATGTCTAAACACGACTCCAATTGGGCCGGTGGCCTTGATAAGCCCAGTCGATCTGTTCAAGAAATGGAAATCTCCTCACTTCAACCCTTCCCTACCATTCGATCCGACAGGGCGGCAGAGCTTGTCCATTCGGATGAGGACAAGTACATGACGTTCGTACCTTTGCTTGAATCCTTTGAAATCTTTGTAATTTATATTCGAGTGAAAATCAATCGCTGATATCTTCTCTCGAATTCCATGGCGTAAACTTCACATTTTGCATTGCGACAATGGATCCTTCTGGTCATGACCTCTATGATCTGCAACTCTTATGCGATTCGATAGCCAATCACCTGAGTTGCTTGGCGAACCAAATTATCTCCAAACCACACAAGAGATCCCTGTCGTTCCATTCACTTCACCCCCTTCATTACCGGATACCGAATCATCATTGTCCATATCCACTGTCTCTTCCTCGTTTTCTTCTAGTATACCCCCTACACCAACTTATATATCCCCGGAAAAGAATCACATCACAGCAGATGCGCATCGTCTCATTGCTTCCGTCCTCGACTTTCGTGCCTTCCAATCACTTGTCACAATGGAAGCTGGTCGAGATTGTTTTAGAGCATGGCTCTCTGCCGATGCCGATCTCAACAGACTTGGTCTAGCTAAACTGGATAGATATCTGGATGAAACACGGGGTATGCCCGATTATTTGATCAGAGCTTGTTGGTCGGATGTGTAGAAAGCTGACTCATCTTGAATAGCTGACGCGTTGGTGAAGACCGTACGGGACTATAGCATGTCTCTCTATAGTTGAGTCTCGTAGTTTGCGATGCTGAAGGCGTCCGGGCAATTGTTAGCTAAATGAAACTCTTCTATCATCATATATAGGCTTATACCATACTCAACGAACAGAGACCAGTATCGTGGTCCCTAAGCATGTCAACGAGAGCGCCCTTATGAACTTATCGCATCTCGCTACTCTGGAGAGTGGGTTAGGTCAAACTTCAGCTTACCTTTTGAAATCACTCTATTGCAATGAATTCCAAGTCAGCATCCATTTGCGTTTTTTATTGAATTGGTATATTTGATTGAATATTTTTGGTCTTTGATTCAGGGATTTATTCATGCTAAGCTCATTGAACAAACTCAGATCTCAATCGGCCGTGAACCTGGTTCTGAATCAAGCGACTCGTTCTGCTTATGTAACCCAAGGCTGAAGTTCGTTATCAAACCTTTTCATGTTCTACTAGTCACTTGCACTATAGAATGTATGATTTTTCTTACGCTGATTGTCAACTGGCTGACATCACTGGTCTGATTTTCATTAGTGATAACCCAATTGTCATGGTCTCCCGCGGTTTTGTGTACGTACAAGATTTTTTTCACTCCATTCTCCTGTTCTGGGGTTGACGAACTAACCACTCTATCCTTCAAAATTGTCCTTACATATAGTGAGTTGACTGGTTACCAGCCACATGAAGTGATCGGTCGAAACCCCCGATTCTTTCAACAAAACTCTCGTAGAGGCTTACCCTATCTTCGTGATGCAGTTGCTACTAGCAAAGCATGCTGTGAGCTTATACTCAACTATCACAAAGACGGTAGTCCGTTTTATTGTCTCCTTAACATTGTCCCGCTCTTTGATTCGAGGGGAGAGTTAATGTGTGAGTACAAGCACCTTTCTACGGGGTAAAGATGTCTTGTGACCCTTTGCTAACACATATACGTGATTTATTGAATTGCAGTTTGGTTTGGAGGTCAGATGGTACGCTTTTGATCTTTCTCTAAATGATATGCGAGTACGAAGGTTGACTTGAAATCTTCGACAAATACTGTTATCATTGTGACTCGCTTCATCTGGAATATAAATGCAGGACGTGACAGGCGAAATCTTGGGTTCGAATGAGTTTTTTGAACCTCGTGTATCTCCTTCTTCTGCTTTGGCCGTCAAGCGACAAGTACAGCGTGGCCTTCCGCGCGACTCTCTCCCCAATGAGTCTCCACGAATGCGTGCGCACGAGGATCAACTCTTTCATTCCACTCGACACAGTAGTTCGTTCTCTAGTCTGCTAGGCCGTAATAGCAGAGCCTCGGGGTCCAGTCAGACTTTGAGTCGAACAGCAGTCGAACATGGTCTTGAGCATTCACGTTCAATAGTAGGACAGCTCAAAAGCGCATTGAGGAAGGAGTCATCAATGGGTAGTACTACTATGACGGGGTCTCCGCCCAACATGGTTCAAGCTGGAAGTACTGGGAAGACACCAGCTACATCGGTATCTGAAGCTTTGGGATCTGCAATGGGACCATTCCAGGAACAACTATCTTTGTTCAGTTTAACTTACTCACAGGTTCGTTTCTTTCATCTTTCGCTTGCTGGTCTTTGGGACAGCTAAATCATACATATTGTAACGTGAGCTGAAATTATATGAACGCTGTTAGTTTTTGATCTTTGAAAGGCATACCCATAAGGTAGTTTACACTGGACCAGAATGCCTGAGATTTTTTGGTTAGCCTTCATCTCATCTTCTACCATTCTCGGAGCTTTGAGAAGGCTGTGGGTAGGTAAAACAAGATTAGAAGCTGATTGGCATCTTGTTTTATTTTTTGTTTTCATGGCAATAGGTTTGCCAATAGACTCAGAAGAGGATGTATTAGCTCCAGCCATCTTACACCATAACTTTCTTGACACTATTTATGGCGAGAATGGAAAGAAAACTAAAGAAATCAGACAGCATGTTACGAATGCGATTACAAGGTCAGCCTTTTGTAGTGATGTATGCTTGTAAGACTCAGGGAAGCTCATCATTTATGATCTTATCCACTAAACACGTAGTGGACAGCCGGTTTCGTGTGATTGCTTTGTCAAATGGGACCTCGGTGTCAAAGTACAGTAAGTTCACTTTCAATAGTCAGGCCTGGTCTTTACCAATGTGATTCTAATGTCTCACCGTCTCCGTTTCCAGACCGAACTCAGATAGACAGACCTTTGCTCGAGTCACCAAAACTGCCCATATGAGCACATACTCTTGTTTGTCCAATCTGTTTATACAAATCGTCATTCTTGTATATGTTCCTAATAGAACCTACCTGCTTTCCTTTGCAATTTTGATCGTTCTTCTATCGATCAGGTTCAATTTACGTAAGTCATAAATCTCACATCTTATCATGTCTTTATTCGTACTAGTACATCTTTTGTGAGACAGTCGCTGATGAACGACATTCCTTTGAAAAAACTTATTGTTTACATTTTTTTGGACATGTTAATTTGTCAACACTTATAATTCGATATCCTTTTGCAGTTCGCGCCACTCTGGGTTAGTATTTGTTCATCGTATGCGAGTCAAATTCTTAATTGATAAAAAACTGACTGAATTCGGATTGTTTGGCACCTCATTGCAGACAAAGAACGATAAATGTGTTGTTTACACCGCAGTTTTAATGTGATTGATGCGAATAAAAGATAGGGGTAAGCCGCACAGCAATGTTCAAAAGGAATCTAGCACGATATACCCTTCAAGCTGCACATCATTATCATCAATTTCATACTTTGTTGATTCATCGAGTTTTTTGTGTTGATTTCATCGATTTTTTTTTGTGATTAAAATGTTCTTGATAGGGTTCATGTGGGTTACTGATATTGACGGAAGACCTGTTCCTTGGTGTTTCCACTCTGTTTTTTTCTGGGTTCATAAATCTTTGCATTCATTTACTTTTTACACTCGTTCTTTTTGTGTTTAACTTGCAACACTATCTCTCACATGTTTCATTTTATCGGATGCAAAGTATGACTAGTGATCTTCATCAAGTGTTTTCTCTTAATAGAATGTTGAAAGTATCTTTGTATTGACCCCAGATTAACTGTGGAGATCTAAGTTGTAAGAAGGATTTAAGCAAGAATGCCATCGATCTCGCAATTCAAATTTGGCTCAGAATATTTTCAGATATGCCATGGCATGTAGACTGCATAGCTAGAATCGTCATACTGGCAAAACTCTATTATCAGAGTGGAGGTTTCAAAAATCTCATCCGCTCAGCCTTTGTACTTGGATCAGCCAGGATCACAAAGAAACTAAAATGCTCACAGAAATCTCTCTTGGTGATTGTGTACACAAAAAGATTCAAATTGATAAATTGTAAGCTATACACTGAAAGAAAAAAGAGAGAAATGAATCTGATGATTAACCAGCTCTCGTGAAGCAATAATTGAATCTATCTACGTCCATGTGTAATGTATCAATAAATCTTGTATCTAATCAAATGAAATCATATTTGAACTCCTATGTTGACCAAGTCCGGAGTCAAGGCATTTCCATTGGAGATCTTGATCTTGTTAGTAGGTCCTGGTGTGAAGCCATCCATTTCTAGAAGATAGTCTCTATACACATCATCCCAAGACTGATGATATGGCCATGCGAAGAAAAAGTCATTTGTCAGTTCCTCTTCTTTCAAGTGAGGTAGTATCAAAATCAACTTACGTTTCCGCTTGCTGGGAAGTTCAACTTGACATCAGGTCCGCCATTCACAGTGATATAGGCTTCCCGACAACGCGGGCAATCTGATTTGATAACGAGTTCACTATCGGCCATGATATAATCAATGGTAACGTATTTTCTTCCTCCTTGGTCTCCTCCATCGACGTCGTGCCATTGAACATATGCTCCCTTTCCAACATTTCCGGCTACTGCTAATCCGGTCCCTGTCACACGTTTTGCGGCCATCCCGTATAGGTCACAGTTTGGACCAATGGCAGGATATTTTTGATATTTCACGGGTGGCTTGGGAACCATTTCAGTAAGCTTCAACAGCTGGACACCATGAGTAGAGGTTTGTAATGGAATACTGATGGTGTTGATAGAGAAGTTCAGTTGGTGCACCGCTGAGTCTGAAAAGATTCATCAATTATCAAAGAGTATCTTACGTCGTGTTCCATACGTCAAGGGCGTCCTCTGTCCATAGGTCGACTATATTGGCACTCAACAGGCCCAGATCCGCGAGGTTGAAATCGATCAAAAGCGTATCGGCCAAAAAGTTGACAATCACTAGAGATAGATCAAGTCAGATTTCAAAGCTCCGGCAAGTCAAATGAATTATTGATGAAGTTGATCTCATGACTCACCGACTACGACGCTTCCGTCTTTGAGTGGTCCACTCCATACGTCATGTTGATCAGTGTATCGTCGTCTTAATCTGATGCTTGCTCCAAGGGGGTCTTGCTATTGATCGCAAAGTCATATGAATAATGGTACCGTCAAATCGACTGATGATACGCAGATCATCAAGAAGTACATACATTGACAGCAATCAGTTTGGGGTTCTTGAAGTGTCCTATCAGGCTTGGATCTAGACGAGTGAGATCTGTGGAAATGATCAAAGGTGATCTGTGTTTCCGATGACGAGATGAGCTTGAAGACGAAGATGAAATATCATGTGCTGAAAACAATGGAAGCTCACTTCGCTGCTGCCCAAAAAGTAAACTGAGTGATAACCTCAATCCTTGTCAAACCACCTTGTCCAACTTCTAATAAATCAAGGTCTGCAAACGTTCCAGGTTCGTTGGCCCAAGCTTCGGAAGCGAATTGATTGATTGTGCGTACGCTGAACAAGTAAGCGAGAAGTTAAGTTCGAGTTTTCAGAACTGCAAAGAATATTTCAAGTTTCACTCAACACGCGACTCCACGTATCTGACGCCCCAGCGACATCGTCTCCTATCCGCCACAAATTAGCATAATCTTTCACCGGCCACGATAATGGGTTTTGGATTCCCCAGGCAGATATGCTGATTATAGACAAAGGAGATACTGATCAGTTCCTCATCACCTAAGACGACCAATGCAGAGCTTACGCATAAGTAACAGGTGCACCACTAGCAATCAAAGCATCTCGTGTCACTTTGAAGCGGTCCTATGGGGAAGATGGAATGTAAGATTGATTGAACAAATAGAACCAATGAGATGGTGGAAGAATTGCACCTTGACACTAAAATTGGGATTGTAATCCACCGGGGTATGAGGGTTGTCTGCCCAACAGCTGATCCAAAGGGTAATATAGATTTAGGATGGCAAGTTAGCTTATGAACAGGAAGTAGTTTCAAAACCACCGAAAAACTAAAGAAAGTGTGCACGAACAATTCCATCTTCAAGAAATCAATTCCCCAACCAACAAATGTCTTGACATCCGCTACTTCATGATTCCGTGAACCTATCATCTTACTATGAGCTTTTGCTCTGGTCCCGCAAGGATGATCCCTAAAAGACAGTCATGCAAAATATTGAATATTTGAGAGACACAATGTAAAAGGAACCCCTCTGGGGATCTACTCCAGACCTCATAGAATTTAATAAACAAGACAAGTGAAATCTGCTAACCCCGCAGTTGATGTCAGTCCAAACTGCATCTTTTTACCATGAACGTATTTAGCCATCCCATTCATTCCGCTCGGAAAAGCTTGTTGATTTGCCTTATTGCCAGGAAGAACAGATCAAAGACGAAGAAATACGAGATTGTAAAGTTAGCATAGGATAATGGGTGAGGTACGAAGGTCACTCACTGCGAATGTTCCATCTTTGGCTCTGTCAATAGCTTGCCAGCCACATCCCAGAATGAAAGTCACGTAACCCGAATCTCGTAATCCACTTGATTCCATGAGGTCAACTTGCTGTCGCATCGATTTTTCATCAATTCCGCAACCAAATGCTACTGCTGAGTTCCACCCCATGGTAGCTAAGATGAAGAGTTACAACACCTTCAGTTTCTACATCCATGGTAATTGGGGTGAGCTACTCACGAGTTATGCCCCTCTTATTTTTAAGTCCATAACTGGAATTTGCCAAAAATGCTAACGCTAATAATGATTTCAGCATTTCCTTCAAGAACGGTGTACTGGTCGAGCCCGTGAGGTATAAAAAATATAACGAGAGTTTTGAAATTCGAAGGAATTCAACAAGCTGAAGGAAAACTCTTCAAAACGTCAAGCCTAATCAAATTCAAGGTCGATGTTCTTGATTTTGAGGTTTCGTCTTTGTTAACCCGTTCCTCGGGCCACTGATCGATCTTGATGTGGATAGATTCCTAGCGTTGTTGGTGTAGGTAAAGAGATTGTTCTTCTAATCAAAAAGAGAAAAGGTATGGTTTATTCACAAGTTACGAGGTCAATACAAAAATGGGAAGAAAAAACTGTAAACCAAAGTGAGTCGCAAGATTGGAAAACCGAGTGGAATAGCGAGTAGTCAATAACCCTCTACTGTCATCTGACAATGATTCTCAATATCATCCCAATGACATCTGGAACGCTGATGGGTTGTTATATCCTGAAAACAACCTCACAACCAGGTTCATCGTGGCGCATGTATGTATCGCGTCTGCTAAATTTGAGAAATGGATGCCTTGTTGGCATGGGGACACGAATGAGCTCAGACAGGGATAGAAAAAAGAGAAAACCTTCTACTCCCATGGCTTTGACCACATGGAAAGAATCAATCTTCCCTTAAATATGTCCACCCGCCGTGTCATTTAGCTTATCGCTGCTGTGAGACCCCACTGTGCAGAACCCAGGAATGATGAGTCTGGATGTATGCCGATTTGTAAGGGATCGAATAACATGGGAATGGACTATGAGAATAGATGTCATAGCACTTGTTTCCAGCAGGAGTGTGACTGCCCTTCTTGACCAAAGCCTTTAATTTGGCAGAGCCACAAAGGTAAGTGGCCAACTTCTTCAAGATCACAATCACTTTCCAATTTTGAATTCTCTATCTTCACATCTGACGTGACTAAACTGTTTTGATAAACCATTTGAGGAAGTTTTGCTCTGATGGTTGATAAGAGTCACAGTGAAAATTGACCAATAAACATTCTTACTTCATTCACAAAAAAAACTTATTCTCTTGTTTTTTTTTTTTATTTATGATCTCACAGCACCTTAAAAAAGTAAAGAAAACTGAAAAACCTTTCAAGCGTGTGATTCCTTTCACCTCTAAATCACAAATAAACAACCAGAATAATCTATAATCACAATCATGATAAGAGAATATTGCAAAGACCAAAGCATTCTTCATACCATGAGACTTGAATCAATTATTGTTGATGTGTATATATCAGTATCATTTTGCAAAAGAATCTTTCAAAACAACAAACTTTATAACAAGAATCCTCTTGATCACATGTATATAACTCCAAAGAAAACCAAAGAAAAGAAAAAGAAAAAGAAAACAAAGAAAAACAGAAAACCAAAAATATCCAAGTAAGAAAGACAAACTTGAAAAAAAAAGAATAACCATGAACCCATTGATCAATGTAGATATCCAACTCCAATCTTTTCATACACACCCACACACACAAAAAGAAGATCAACCAAAGAGATACTAAAGTATACAATAAGTACCCAATACATTTCTACCACCACCAAGACCAAAACCACTACTTTCCTTCTACAGAAAACACAAAAAAACACAATGATAATACAAGAAAAAAAAACGAGAAAAGAAAACCCCAAAATATGAAAAAAAAAACCAAAAAAGAACCAATCATCATTTTCAATCCTTAAGATTGATTTCATCTTGACCAAACTTTTCTTTTTACAATTACAAATTCAGGTAAGATTTTCATCTTGGATTCACCTATTAAATTCCCATCTGAATCTAATTTCATTTCATTTTTCTAATCAAGAAATCAAAGAAAACCTCATGAGATCAGTTATCAAACACGAGTTCAAACCGAACCAACGTATGAAAACACAAACCTTAACTAAGATTCCTTTTTTAGGTACCTCCATTAACTTTCCAACAATCTCAACATCTTCAGCCAAAGGTTTCTTCCATTTCACTTTCCTAAACCTCAATGCAGGTTTCTCATTCATCCCTAAATCTTTAACCCCACAATCCTCATCTTCATCCTCATCATGATCTTTGATATACTTTCGACAAGTTTTACTAAAACTAACTGGAGAAGTCGGTCTAGGTTTTTTCATTTCCCAATCTTCCACTTTCACAACACATACTCTATTCTCATTCAAAGAAGTAAATCGTTTAGTCACACTTAATAATTTAAGATTAGAATCGTTTTTCAAATGTCTTGGATTACTTTCTCTAAAGATCGTTAATGGAGCAGTTGGATTCGAAATGGGGATACTACTTTCCACTCTTCCAGCTTTTCGTTTGGTTTGTTTTTTCATCGCTTCTAATCTTTGACTGATTTTTGATCCTCTGGTCGGTCTCTTTGTCAAGAATCCTTCTCCATTTTCTTTCTCTGACTGTAATTCTACCAAAGCTTCAGATAACTATAAAAAAGAAAGGATAGAATAGTATAAAGAGAATATATCATCAGCACTCTGATCTTACTTTCCAGTTTTCATTTAGTCAGATTCAAAGAACATCGAACTCACATTTAGTGCAGATGTAGTAGACTCCATGATCAATGGTTTAGTTGGAGAAGTTCTCAAAGGAGGTGATCTATCAGGAGGACATAAGTGAGATGATCCAGATTTAAAGAGATATCCAAGTTCAATAGAGTTAGGTAAGACATTTTTCATCTCATCTGGTCGTTCATTCATTGTTGCGCGTGAGAAGAATCCTTTGCTCCGATTGATGGATCCAGGTGAAGATTTGATAGTAGAATTAAAGTTTTTGAGATTTGGAGGTGTGGTTTCATTGATTGAAGTAGATGTAGTAGTCTGAAGAGTTTCTTGGGGAGGGTTTTCGGGCAATGAGCTTTGTACGTCGGGTGATTTGGGTACGTCCTCTTGTTGTAGGATTGTAGACTTGTTTGGAAAATGTTCAACAGATGGGTCGAGAGATGGGAATGATAGGGAGGTAGGGTATGTTATAGGGCAGGCTGAGAGACCTGGTAATGTCGATGGAGGTATATCCCGTACAACTTGAGTTGATGATGGCGAGTATGGGATTGTAAGAGGTGATGCCGGTTTACTTGGTGTGAGCTTCAAGAAGGTAGGCATTTGGAAAGTATGTGATGAGAGCTTTTGTGGCGAGGATGATGATTGGATCTGATGTTCCTGAGGATCTAAAGGTTGCTGATGATTCGCCAGATGACCTGTTGGAGAGAGTGCGGCTTGAGGGGTGTGGGTAGGTCCGATGGAAGGAGGTGATGAGAGAGGTGACGACAGAGGTGAAGATGAGGGTGTTATAGCCGGCTCCATGGACATTTCTACCGCAAGACTGATGGTATGAGGATTTAAGGATTCGGAAGATGGGAGTGGATTAGAACAGTCAAGTGTAGGTAAAAGAGAATGTGGGTCTGATTGTATGTTTTCAGGTTCGATGAGGTTTCTTGAAGGAGAGAGGAGGGGTTGATCGGTACTGTGATGTGGTATAAGGTTTGAGAGTGAGCATTCATTTTGAGGAATCGAATCGATGGAAGAGACAGCGGGTTTGAAGTTGAGCTGATTGACATTAGAAAGATTAGGTGAGTCTATTGGGATTGAAGTAGACAGTTGTAATTCACTGGAAAGGGTATGCGGGTTAGATTGATCAATTAAGGTTGAGAGTTGAGGAGATGGAGAAAGGGTATCTGATTTAATATTGAGATGATGCGGTGAGTGTATTGATGATGATGATGATGATAATTTTTGAATTTTAGTTTGAGGGGTTGAAGGGCTCGAAGGTGAAGGTGAGGGTGAAGGTGAACGTGGTCTTTTAGAAGAAGAAGATCTAGTCGAAGCTGTGAATGCAGAAGTAAAGCAAAATGAGGATTAGAATTGAACCTTGATATATTGGAATGGCAGCAATTTGTCGATGCTACAGACCCTCAACTTCAAGGTATATCTTGAGATGATATCACATTGAATGAGATCATTGGTATAGAGGGCATATATATATTTTGAAAAGACTTACCTTGAAGACTAGTTAAGATTGAATCAGCTGAGATAGGTGGTAAGATTGGATGATGATAGACTGGATGTAAATTGGTTTTCAAGACAAATGGTAATGAGTCGGATGAAGAAGTCATCTTGTTGAATGTTAGATTGATAGTTTGATGTTTTGATAAATTTGACAATTTTGATATCTGAAGTGTTGATTTGTTAAATGCTGAGCTGATGATGACCCTTTCTTGTGAAAAGTCAAGTAGTTCCTGTTAGTTCCATTTTAAATACTCCATTCCGAATCCAAACTGAACTTGATTTGATTTCGGAGCATCTTCCGGGTCGATCGTCGGTACCGGGATCGACATACTGGAAAGATTATTTGAAACTTTGCTTGATCCCGGATTCTACGTCAATGGATGCTGAGGGGATCCAGATTGTTAATCTACTCTCGAAGCTGCGCTCAATGCGTTCGAGGACCCGAATGCATGCTATCTTTCCCTTTCACGGGCATGTTTCAGGCTGAAGCGGACAAATCATAATTCAACTCCCTTTTCCGGTGGAAAGATATATCTTTACATCGTCGAAAAGAAGACTCTATGACATTCTTGAGCAGCTTCCATGGCATTGATTTGCCAAGTTCAATGTGTGTATCTTGACGCTATACCAATTTGTTCATGAACACTGAAAAAGTTCCATTGTCACAATCAATCCACACAAAACCGGTTATCTTTTGTTCAATTGAGCCTTCAAAAACTCCTTCACTGAGATCTTCGAGAGATCTTGACCGACATACGGATATAGTTTACGATAAAATGTGAAGGAGTCTACAATTGGTCAATCTTTACAATAACTGCGCTCTTCGTATGACGAATCTGGCGTCAGATAAATCAGAATTCTTTTGTCTATTCAGTGCACGCTCTGCCTATGGAGCCCAAGTCGATCATATCCTTTTGTTTCTGTCAATGGAGAGCAGATTTGGACGATGAATGGATTCATGAAATCAGCTCGTTAGAGGCTTCTTTGGAACACATTTTTTCCTAGGTATACTGAACATCTTGACTCCCACTTCGTTGACTCTTTTATTTTCTCGACACTTTCATCCTTCTTTACAAATTCAATGTGGACTCGAAAAGGACAATCATACTTCCCTTGGGCTCCAGCTCTCTTAACATTAGCTCTACTTCGGGCTTCAGCAAACGCGATACTCTCTGCTAATGAGACTATTTCTGATGGTGATAAAGTCTTGGGCGCAGAGCCTGAGCCTTGTTCAATTTCAGATGCAGAGTTTGACCGGATGGAAGGTCAAATGCCAGATTTTTTTCCACTCAACGTTTGTTGTTATTTCGTGAAAAGTTTTAGTCTCAGGAAGATAACATATACTAATGGCAACTCGATATAAAACCTCTTCAGATCGGATCCGCCTCATCTGCAGCCAATCACAGCGAGTCTGGCAGTCTCGATCAAATCACTCTCAACAAACGCAGTACGGCGACCGAAAAAGCCAAATCTACTGCTGTCAACTCATCTGGTGACAAGAACCCTGCAACTTCTTCAAATCCGCCTGCTCAGAATCGCATGCGCTATAACATTAACACAGAGCGTGTACCCTCAGTTGGTCAAATCACCTCAGCAAACAACTTTCAATCAAACTCAACAACAGAATCAAAGAACGGGTTGAGTATTGTTTTCATTGAATTAAATTTGATATTGCTTCATATGATTAACATTCTCTGCGTTTTTTTAATCCGCTGGTGTCGTCGCTTAGTGTAAGTGCTGCGAACAAAATTCCTCTATTTCGATATGGCAAGTCTGCAAGACCAAATGGCGAAGTGTCTTCCAAACCGCAATCATCAGCGAAGACAGCTTCCAAATCTAACATCACCCCGAAATCGAATGTAAGTGCATATCTTTCCTTCGCGTCTTCTCCAGTCACTCCTATCTAAAAAGTACTTGCTCAAATATGGGCGTCGGTAATGCCTTCACAGGGGCTCAAACCCCGCCAGCTACCCAACGCGGCGACTGGAAAAGCGTCTACACCGAAACCTGCTGCCAGCTCATCTACTGAAAAGAAAGCCACAACTACTTCGAATGAGAATTCGACAACAAGATTGAAGGGAGGGTTGAGTATTGCTTTACTTGATTTTTCAAATAAAACAATGCTCCATATGATTGACATTCTTTATATTTTGTCAGTTCTTCCGTAACTTCTTCGAGTTTGAGCACTGCGAGTCCGACCAAAATCCCTTTGTTTCAACACGTAAAGCCTACGAGCCCAACCGGAGCAGTGTCTTCTAAATCACCGGTATCAAGCAAATCCAGTGTGATCTCGACGTCATCGTCACCTGCGAGGCCGTCTCGTTCTTCTACTTCGTCTGCAGCTACTCGTACTACTTCTTCCCCCAAGCCACCTGCTACTATATCAGCGCCAGGACCTTTAAAGTCTCCATCATCGCAGACATCAACTAAAGTGTTGCCTTCAACGTATTCTCGTCACCCTTCTCTGACTCGGGATTTCTTACAGCCTTCTAAAGCACCCATTTCTGTCTCATCCAATAAGCAAACCCCTCCGATCACTTCTTCAAGTTCCCGACGTGTAACTAGCACTTCTTTGACTTCCACTTCTTTGATTCCGAGGCCAACACCAAGCTCTGCTATCAAGTCTGTCATGTCCTCAAGTCGATCTCCGACGCAGCCGACTACTTCTTTGCGTCCAGTTTCGAGCTCACCAGTTCGAGTGAGCTCGAGTAAGATTGCCCCTTCGACTGTATCATCTTCGAAAGCTACAAATACTCCATCTCGTCTTAGTGCCTCATTAGCTCCCTCTCCAAGTACGTCCACTCAACCCCGGCCAACCGTACCAACACCGTCGAAGAGTTCTATCAATAAGGTCTCCTCGTCAACTTTACCTTCCACTGGGATACCTAAAGCGACATCTTCTGTCCTACCTTTGCCTTATAGTGCAAGTAAGAGTATACCCAAAGCGTCGTCTTCCCTCTCACCTTTACCTTCTACCACGAGCAAAAGTATACCCAGACCAACATCATCTATCCTACCTTTACCTTCTAATACGAGCAAGAGTGCATCCCAATCATCCTCATCCTCAAGTGCATCTTTACCCAAGACCAGTAGTGGATCTCTGACATCTACTATCCCAACCCCTTCATCAAAACCTACAATCCCATCAGATATCATCACCAGATACGACAACACCAGTGCATCACGTAAAAGAGGATCAATAAGTCCCTACATAAACCCCGGAAGTTTCTCAGCCTCATCAACAAACTTTATCCCAAGTCGTATAAACCTATCCAACAAAATCACCCAAATCAAAACCGAATATACGAATGGATTTGAAACAAACTCTACCAGTGGTTCTTTTGATAAATCGTTTGGTAAAGGTGGTTTGATGACCAAATGGCAATCTTCTGGTGAATTTAGTCATGGTGGTTGTGATCTTTCTTTGATTGGTGTGAATTTAATTCAAGATTGTTATAGGATGAGTTTATCTGGTGATGTAGATAAACATTTAGGTGATGGTTCTTATGCTACTGCTAGACAAAGAATCGAAGTCTATGTAGCAGGTTTGTTTCTTTTTTTCATATATCTTTTGTTTCTTCCTATCGAAATGATTGTAAGCTGATGATAAATCTTTGCTGGTCTTTTGAATATATAGGAGTAGTAGATTCAAGTACATGGGAATACAGCTGGAAGGCATTCCTGGCTACTTCTACTACCACGACTACTTTCTTTCATCTATGGCAACTTTTAACACGCGGAGGTGGAGGATTAAGTGGACCGGTAGTCACACTGGAAGCTTTGAATGGAAAAGCGATTGTGAAAGATTCGGTTAGATGTTCAAGTGGCTGTACTGATGTTGATATTGATCAATTTTCTCATCGATTAATTCAACATCAAATGATAGTAAAGTAAATTGAAATCTTGACTATCTTTTTAAAAAAACAATCTTATGACTTATGCTTATTGGTTTCTTTTTTTTGTTTGATTAGGTATGGTAATGAAGGTAGAATTGAATATCAAGCTTTTGATGCACTTTCGGGTATTAATTTATTAACTTATAATGCTACTGGATTCATGGGAAATCTTTCTACTTCGATTAAATTCGGTCTTTATAGAAGAGCTAATCCTGAAATGGGACCAGCAACGTAAGTTAACTTTATTTTATTTTCTCTTTCTTTTTGTAAACTAAAAAACATGATCACCAAATTTAATCTTCTTCTTCTTTGATAATACTTTCTAGGATGTATTTTGGTGATTTTATGGGAAAGAGATTAGATTGAATTCACTTAAAAAAACTTATTGAGTTCATCATCATACGTATTTTGTAATCTATAAAAAATCTTCTTCTTTTTCGTCTTGAAAAATTAATAACTTATATCATATATGTACACCAGACATCCAAGCATAAAAATCATAATTTTGTTCCGAGGAATTGAAATCAAATTTGGTCTGAATAGTTTTTCTTGAGTACATATTGAAGATCATCATGGGCTCAAGTATATCTGTACATAAAACGATGATTTCACCATAACAGAAACCAAGAAAGATCAGATTCAAGTCATCATCACCCACCTTGTCTCTGCCAACAATTTTTATAAAACCAAATGACATAATCACATCTTCATGGTCTTTGGTAAGAATTTGTGTAAGCTTTAGAACATACAATAGATCATGATGCAGCAATCACAATCTGTATAGTAAAGATAAGTTCTGGAGATACAAGATGGTTTCCTTACTTTTCTCCACGTTGAATTTGACTCCAGTTTTTTCGAATAGCAAGAGGTAGATACCACGAGAATTCAGGCTCTGGTATTGACTCATAGTAAGTATACCTGAAATATCCACAAACAAGCCAAATTGAAGCGCTTCTTCTGCTCTACAATCTCCCTTGCCTTGAGTTAACTCTCTCCCAATGTTGTTCTCTGAAACATCCACTCTCCAGGATTATGATTTATATGGGTCTGTTCAAGGTATGAAATGGGGACCTTTACTCCCTAGCCCCTCAAATGATATGTAGGTATAAAAACTATGAAGATCAAAGAACTCAACTGTTTTCACTTGCAACACAGAGCCTTGACAGGAGCTCACTGGGTTTCTGTGTACATGCATAAAGGCGGTGTTCACTATTGGGCTCTGTTAGCTCTGTTGGGCTGTGTGAGTTTGATATCCTGGAATAGTCTGGGATTCAATGAGATCTTGAGTGAAAGGGAATCTTGGTGTTGAATTGAATTTGTATCCTCGTAGACGGATAATTGTCTTCTGAAGAAACCCGGTCACGAGTAATTTCATTTTTCGATTATTTTTTTGTTTTCGGTTTCTCGCTGGAACGGTTAACCACTGAGTCACTCTTCATTCTGACTTGACTTCTTCTCAATTTCTCATCAAAACCAATCGAACCAAGAAACAAGTCCTTCAAGAAACTCAATCAAGCATCAAATCTCACTATATGCTTTCACATCCTTCAGTCCAAGTGGTCCAGTATCAGGTCTCAACGTCAGTCACTCTCTCTCGTCATCCTCTTAACCATCTTATCCCACTTACTTACCGAGATCGGTCTCCTTTATCAATCACAAACGCTTTTCTTTCTATGATACCTCTCTGCAACACCCATCCCAAAAGATAGCTCTGAACTGGATCTAGGTAGAAGATTATTATTGGTAACTGATTTATCAGGACAAATCTTATGGAGAACTGTTGAGTAGCCATCTAATCTCAATTTATTTATCAAGCGACTTGGTAATCTTCAACGAGTGCGCCTTCGTGTGATGTTCTCATATGGATTCTTAAACACGCAGTAGACTTTTTTTTTCACACTTGATTTGAAATGTGTGGATGTGGGTTTTTGGACTGATGATGTTCTTTGTGTTGCCTTCAGACACGGACCCTGTCTGATGATGAAATCGTGGAGAGTGTGATGGTACGTAAGCTTTTATAATAACCGAAAACTAGAAAATTCAGCTGAAGTAACGTCTTCTCACAGGACTCTACAGGCCAAGTGCTCTGGACGATTCACAAGTGTGTCTGAGGATGTTTTACACCTTTACAAATACGAATCCAAAACACATTGGAAGCTGATACAAATCTCGTGATCGCCTTCAGACCGATTCGAGGATGGTACCTCGTTATCCGTTCACCATCTTACACCAATCCGCGTACTCATATTGCATTGCAACCTTTGAAACTACGTGGACCTACTCATGAAGACCGATTTATATTTCGACTCAGTCCGATTCACCTTCCATCTACTTCAACATCTGGTTCACCACCTACAACAGACGTCAATAGGCCTCCGACTGCTTCCAACATGTCACCAAGAGCCTCTAGTAGCTCACAAACCACTTCCAATAGTCCATTACGAACCTCTGATCCTTTCATCAACTCTGGATCAACGAGTCGTCCGAATAACCGTCACAGCCAAAAGCGTACCTCGACGACCACTCATGATCTCGACGCACCCCAAATCGTCGTCTCATCCTCAACGTTTGCTGACCGACCCGATTCTCGTGGCGATCCAACATCTGAGGATGAACCTACAACGGCTCGTAGTCATATAGCCTTACGACTTCCATCAGAATTATCAAACCTAGAAGATTCAATTAGTTTAGACACACATCCTACTCCTGATTCAACAAATTCAGACGAAGCCACTCTGGAAATCGATTTCTTACTACAACCTTTAACACCCTCAATCCCTCTAAGCACATTTGGACGTCTGATTTCCTTTTTTGGTGAAACCGATCGATCGTTTTGTTGTACAAGACCTGGATCATCATCAGTAGTTGAAAACGTCTTGAGTTATGAGGATGAAACGTCTATGTTTAACTTGAGCACTAAAGGTCAACTTAAAGTTCGATTTGAGGCTTTGTCTCAGTATGGGATGCCTGTTTGTTTCTGGATCACTGTTGCTTTGGCTTATCTTGGGTTCAGAGGTGATAAAGAGGTTAGTCCAACTTGAGGTTTATGTTTTGCAAGTTATCATGATCAAAAATACTGATCTGTCTTCTTGTTTCCTTTGGTTTGCACACTTAGGCTTATCAGGCAGCTACAGAAGACATCCAATGATTCTGATAATTCTCAATACTATCTTTGCATGCGTGTCTGACTCAATGCAAGGTGTTTCAGAAAATGATGATTTCATACCCTTTTTGAATGCATTCCTCTATGCTTCATGTTTTGTGTTTTTTGTTATGTTGTATGATGTTTTGATCATTCAGTATTGTAATTCTTGGGAGATTTTTTTTTGCATTGTTTTAATATTTATTTTGATCTCTTTAATGAGGGCACCTTAGGGTTTTATGTTGGAGTTTTTGTAAGTTGATCATCTCTAAATTATATTTATAAATAAGAAAAAGATTTCTTTGGTCATAGATTTTTTCTTTGCTAACTTATTATCTTGGTTTGTTTTTCTCTACTTATTCTTTTTTTATGAAATGAGGTAAAGAGAAAGAAATGGTAATTGGATTGAATGGTCAACAGGATGATGTGAGATTACTATCACCGTGTATAATTTCCGGTAGCACGTCGATGTGCACACACGAAGGGATTCGAAAAAACAAGCGAAGAACAGTTTCTCTAGTTTTGTTGAATTTCAGTGACAGGCTCAGCACCCCTTTGTTGAACTTGCTTTCTGAGCACCTAGACAAAGGGAATGGGTCTTTGCATCCAAAGACCTCTTCAAAGCATCTATCCTTCCTCTATGAAATGTTTTTGGTGTGTGCACGTTGACGTGCTACCAGATGATGTGAGATTACTATTTTATAAGATGATGTTGCCTTCACAAACACAACCCCAACAATTACATCATTTACTCTGAGTACCTATCATTCCCAATATTCCAAAAAGTAAGTAACAAGTGACCTGCAACTATTATCAAGAAATTGAGGATAAATTAGTCTCATTGGCAAAATATTCTGAATAAGTCAATATCGAAGCACTCATCATCCGACGTAACCTCTTTCTGTTTTTTTGTGCAATAACCACTTTGTTTCAAAAGCTCTTTCATTTGGTAAGAGATAAGAACATCAGTGACACTGTGACTGCAATTGTGACTCCGTTCTATCCTTGAATGAGCAAGGAAGAGGGTATTCAATGACAATTCCATCAGCGTAAACTCTTCCCCAATCTCAGATGGAAGGTAGAGTCTCTGTTTGATCTCTTAGTGGGCTGTGAAAGCTCGGGCCCAGCCCTCTTTGGGGTTGTCCCATGTGGCCAGGACCGAATTCATGCCTTATTCTGCAAAAGAGGCCAATTTGAATTTTCATCTACACTACATAATCACTCTCCAACTTCATTATCAGGATCTGAAGCATACTTATCTAGCCAAGAAAACGACAAACGAGAAGATATAAATACAAAGAAATCAGGTCACCCCGGCGTTAAACGCTCGTTGATATTGGATTAGGAGGTGCTCCTTGAACCGCAAAGCGTAGGTATATAGTCAATTGCTTTCCGTCCCTCCAGTTTGTTTCGAATCTGATGAGGCGTTTTATTTTTGCATGTTTTCACTCCATCCATATTACAATGACGTTCAGACTCAAGGAAGACAAACTAGAGCGATGTCCGGATCACAAAGAAATCACCCACAAATCAACCTCTCAGGCTCAGATGATGATGATGATTTTGGAACTCCGTCAATGAGACTCAAAAGGACTAACTGGTATGATTGGAAGTTCAGGCTTGAGATGTATCTTGCTAGCAAGGGTTATGAAGGTTTACTAGATGAAGAATGGACGAAGAGCAATCTATCAACTGCCGAATTTCGTCAACGCAACGCTTGGGCATCCCACTTACTTCGGAGGATAGTATCATCTGAACTCCATAGCGTATTGAGATTCAATGCTGATAAAAGTTTTTTAGAAACTTTTCATGAACTTGGTAAAAGTTGTGGTGTATCATGTGTCGTAACATTCTCTATGAAGCATCAAGAGTTACATCAACTTAGATATCATCCTGGAACTTCAATCAGAGAACATATGAACAAATTTAATAATCTTCTTTATCTGGTCAAAGATTATATGACTGATTTACCTGACTTTGGTACAATCTCAACCGGTATGGCAGCCTGCATATTCTTAAACTCTTTTAACCAAGACCAAAGTTTACAACCTCTTATTGGGTCCTTATACAATTCGGAACCATTCAACTACGACGTCGTATATAAAAGCATGGGTTTTGAGGCCGATAGAAGACAACTCACACCAAACTCTTTTCCTAAGTCAAATGTTACTACACCAAGGCGATCTGAAAAAGGACGCCGTTCCAACAACGAATCATCTAATCAAAATTCAAATAGAATGGACAACAAGATGAAGTCAGATCACGAAATACTTGTCAAACGGGTAGACAAGTTGGAGAAGATCATGAAATCACATTTGTCAACGTCAAAATAATACATCTACATATCAGTGTCATCTAAAGACTTAAGCAAGAGTGATAAAAATTTCATCAATGGGTCTTCAATGTAAAACATACTACAGCTTTATTCATCTCACCTAAACCAATTTTAGAAATCACCTATAGCTTTGAAGCCAATCCTACCATGAACACCTTCACTTTGGGTTTACAAATGCATCAAAATTCATCAAAAGTCACAACATATTAACCACTGTGTCAAGTTTGTGTCTACATTTCACCCTAAAACTGCCTCTAGCATTCCTCTTTATCTGATCCTTCTACCTATGAAACTCTCATCTTACCATGTGGCAGCTTACTCTTGTTTCAACTTTTTATCATTCTGAATCACTTGTGTGGCCAGCTTATGAAGTATATTATTTCAAGTGTATTTAACTCAAAAACTCTCAATACATTTGCATCTTTCCATGCAAAGTTCTTTTGATCTGCAAAATTGTCATTTTGTCATCAGCAAAATTGTGTTGGTTCTTCCACTGTTGTATTTCTTCATGTTTCTCTGCATCAATCATGTGTTCTACATACTTCTGAAGTGTATTTCTCCAAGCATATACTGAGTACAGTACAGCCACAATACCACCACACTCTCCTCTGCTGCACTATAAATGATATTTTTACAAGTGCAGAAAACTTGCACTATTATTAGAGACCAAACCACTTTGTTATCATTTTCTGGTTGCTATGACCTCCTAAAGTGACATGTCATATTGCTTTGCTATGGTCAACATTGGCTTGGGTAGCACATAGAAGCATGGTCAATTTTTTAAAACACCAGTTTGATCACTTATACCATGGATGGCAGAGTGATGATGTCCAATGGATAAAAGAGAGAACACACATAAACTTTTGAAAAAGGAAAGACAGTTGTTATTTTATTTTGTGAGCTATTTCTGATTACATAGCTGTATCTACCACATGATCTGAGGCAGAGAGGGGATAGTATAGTGGATTAGCAGACAACAGAAAGTGAGAAAATCAAAAATGAATAGAAATTATCAAGGGACATAGAAAAAGGAAATAAGTTGAAGAAAGCATAAACTACTTCTTAGCCTCGGTGTTAGAAGATTTGTAAGCTAGGATATAAGCTTCAGGTTCAGAAAAAGTAATGGATAGTGATCTCTTTGACTTCAACCACTTGTGTGCTCCTACAAGCTTCTGAATCATCTTGCCTGTTAATGATGCACAACTAGGCACCATAAGATCTGCCACAGATGAAAAGGTGCATTTGCACAGGCAAGATGTGCCTGATACTGCGAGATGGTCACAAGCAAGGGATCCAAGTACAAGGGAATATTTTACATTCTCCTATAAGTAAGACTGCCACTTATTACATCCTTCAGTGTGTTATGAATACACTATTTCAATATGTTTCAAGTTAGAGTCAAAAGCTTTGAAATAGGGTAGACCTGAGTACTGAGGTTTTAAGTAGGGGTAATGAGGGTGGTGAACTACATGTTGTTTTTGGTTGTTGCATTTGAATTGAATGATCAAAAATAGAGTTGAAAATTGAAGTGATATGACAATTGAACTGGTTCAGGCATGCTCACATAGTCTCTAGTATTAAAAAAGGGGTGAGATAGATCAAATAACTTTCATCAAGAACCATAACTGTACTCTGTTTCTTGTTCTTCACAGGTGCTGATTGAGGTTGTGATGAGTTGGGACAGTCTTGACTGGCGGTACTTTTTCTCTTACAATGTCCAACATTGCTGGAACCAGTTTTTTCAGATGAGATTGAATTGGAACAGAAGGTGATGTGGGGACAGGAGTGATTGAAGCCAAATCTGATACCTTGTCTTCTGGCCTGCATTATCCAGCTTCATCAGTAGGTACATAATTGCAGTGCACACTGTGAGTCTGGTGACTGCATTATGTGGCCAGTCCAAGGGCAAACTAGACTGAAAACCCTAAGGCTATGTTCACTCAAGTGCTTTTTTGTGAAAATTCACATTCTGGAAAGTCAAGAAACCAAATTCTGTGAAGTATGTTTGATTTCTTATTCACAAGCATTCTGTAAATCACATAATGCTTATAAGAAGTCTTTTTTCATTGATTTCCAAGAATGCAATAATATCACATTTTGTTTGCATTCTGTGATTTCTTTTTCAAACTTTCCTGCCAATCAACCCCTGTGTAAATCGCTGTACAGGTCACTTGAAAATCCATCCCACCACCTTTCTCTGACTCACCATCCATCCTTCATCACCATCCTCAATTGACAGCATCCTTAACCCAACTTATACCAATCATTCTCATTCTCAACTTAACCTGGTGTTTATACAACATGCCTACCTTTGAAGTTGTTCTTGAATTCAAACTTCTTTTGGTTCAAATTGGGAAGTATTAGATGTATCAGGATTAGGTTGATTGATATTTGGAGATGGTAAATTAAAGCTTTGTTCTACATCTTACAAGAAGTACACATTACCCCCCACTGAGTGGTATAATTGCACCAGGTACAATTACACTGAGTCAAATACATGTAAAGAGCTAAAGCTTTGTTCTACATCTTACAAGAAGTACACATTACCCCCCACTGAGTGGTATAATTGCACCAGGTACAATTACACTGAGTCAAATACATGTAAAGAGCTCAGCGTAAAAATCAGAATTGCCTGGGGTCTGAGATTTTTACACCCAAATTTCTCACACCAGGCAATGCAGTGTAAAAGATAAGCTGTAAAATTACAAGTCCGGCCGGGCACCTGAATTTTACATCAAATTATTCACACCCGATTATTTCACACCAAATTGAAAAAAGCAAAATTGGTATAAAATCCAATAATAGGCTGGGTATTTTTGAATTTTTCACCAGCTACTTCCAACCAACTTGGTGTAAACATTTTGGTGCAAAATTCTCCCACCTCATTCAAAACAAATTAAAAACCTGGATTGGGTAAAAAGCTTCATCTCATAAAAGTCTCAACAGTTCCACAAATCCACAATCAATGTTTGTCAAGATGTTAAAGCCATGGTGACCAAAAGGCAAACTTAACTAAGTCCCTTGCTGACCTGTACTGGCCAGCTCAAACTAGGGTCAGCAAGGGACTTAGTTAAGCCAAAAGGGGTCAATTTGACTGTGGGCAGTCTTTGTTGAGTTATGTTCTAGACATTACCTAAGATGGACCAGATACAATAAGCCACAAACTCAAAATTTGGTTGATGTGATGCATGAAGTTTTGCAGACATTTGTGCTCTCAACTTTTGGGATATCACAAGGTCACTGATTGGGACTTTATTTCTATAGAGCTTCACTTATCTGTGGAAGATGATCCAAACAAACCAAAGAGTGTGTTTTCTAATTTAGCAAGTGAATACACAGAACATGCAGCAATGAGTTATATGATTTATCTCAAAAATACATTATCTTTGATGAACCCACTATGTTCAAGTATTTGAATTTCATTGATTTGAGAGGTTCTGTTAAGGTTTAATTGAAAAGGAAGAGCCTTCAAGAAGGTTTGATTTTGCTATGTACCATTATATTGAGCCAACTGACTTGTGTTTTGATGTTTTCCTGCTTTGATCACATGTATTGAGTATGACATCATATTTTGAATGCATAGAAAGAAATTTGTGATTGCTGTCAACATAGTCAACCTTCTGCTCAACATTTTCAAGAAAAAATATATCTTCATTGAGTGCCTGTTGTTCATTGTGCAAGTTTTGGGTTCTGATTTCTAATTCTTGGTTTTGTGGTATTAGAAGCAAGTCATCTCTAATTACTTGATTTTCATTCATGCTGATGCATTGGTGACTTGCTAATGTTTTGGTTTGGATGGGTGGAAGGGCTTTTTCATTGTAGAATTGGTTGTTGGTTGAACTTGAGGCCATAGCTTGAGTAAAGTAATTCATCTCTTTGTGCTGGAGATTCATTGCTCTTTCCCAATGGTGGTATGGATTGAAATTTAGGACAAAACTCCTTCTAAGTCTAGTACCAGGAAATCCAGGTGTGTCCAAGTTGATTGGGATTTGTGGAATCTGTATGACATCAGGGTTGTGGTTTTTGTGATATGATTCAATAGTTTCCTGTGTTTCCTCATATCTTGGAGGGTGTATATAATACTTCATATTATCATGCCAGTCAGACCTGCTTTGTGAGAGATGTTGACTTAGAAATAGTCTTTCATCAGGCTTTTGAAAGGTATGGAATAAGATGAAAAGTTGGTAAGTTTGAGCTCGAGTTCTTTTTACAACCTTTATTCTTGCAAAAACAAACCTACATAGCCAAAGCTATCTTGGGATCTATAAGTATCTCTTTTGAGTACACGACTCCCAAGATGTATCACCTTGGGCCTAGATATTGAATCTTGGGTGCCACCTTGTTGACTCAAAATTTTGCCTTTTGCTCCTTGAGTTCCATTTTGATCCATATCCATTGATGTTTTGTCCCTTGATGATGGTTCCTGTCTTCTCCAATCTTGAATAAGCTTATAGACTAGAAGACTGCAGGACAAAAGTAGCAAGATGACGCCAATTGCAGCCACTACTTTGACCGGGAGAGTTGAGACGGGCGGTGGTGCTTGGACTTCCAAGTGTTCTTCTCCCTGAAATTTGGTAGTTGCCTCATGGTTTGGTTCAACTGGAGAAGTGCTAGAATTTGGGGTTAAAGGCAAGGCCCGGTTCCCTCTGTTTTGCTGGGGATTGGTTTCATTATGGGGAAACGTAGGGGCTGTAGGGGCTGACCCCAAAAACGAAAAGATTGCAATAATAAGATGTCATTCCTCGAAGTCGAAATTTTGCAAGCCAAACAAGTGTGCACATACCTGAGGTAAATGTCTGGGGTTTAAAAATGTTGACCCTCGTCTTTTGATTCGGATTCGGGTTCGGTTGCTTCAACATTGCGCATATATGAGATGCCCAAGTTTCAATTAGACTAAAGAAGACGTATGCATAGGTATGCACCCGCGGCAATTTACCAAATAAATTAAAATAGAAATAAAATGGAATGATCGTCTATGCCCTTCGTACGTAAAGCCGGTTAAATGATAGTAAAAATTAAAAGAAAGGCTGAGGATTGCGTAAGTCATGTACGCTGTGGGTTCCCGTCTGGTAGTATTGACTTGTAAAGCCACACGAAGAGTATCACAAGAAAATTAAAGAGCCGATGTAGATTTGTGACGTCTGTGGAGTTCTTTTGTATGTATTTCATAGGAACGAGTGATGAGAGAAAGCAACAAGTCTTGGAGTTTCAACGACCGCATAACACACTAGGATAAGATTTATGTTCAAAGAGTCAAAAAATCGACTGTTCTTGATTCTTGATCCAGTGAATCAAGCAAACATCGCTTCGTGTAGACCATGTCTCGTCGCGCCGGACGGGACGTGAGGTATAATGGGCATAAAACATCCTCAACCATGAGTCGTTTCGCACCTCGTATACATACATACATACATAGCTTCAAGTTGCCGGAACACGGCTGAGTTTTCTTGCACTCAAAACAGCCCATGACGCACTCAGATCGGCAGACACTTTACCATGGGATGCGGGTTATTCTGGCGCGTGGTTAGAATTGAATGATGATGACATCAATCCAGAAATTCACTCTAAGGACAATCGGCGAGAGCTTACGGCGCTCAAAATCCGGAGGAGGCAACTCAGAGAACGAACGCGCTTGTGAGTTCGTAATTGAAAACCGTGGCTTGGCTGCGACGGGAATCGGTGATACGTGGGGAATTGAATAGCTTTGAGCTTTTGATGAAACTTCTTCTGCAAATTGCGATCTCACAAGTCATTTCCTGACAGTCGATGGGGTTTTCTCGGAGCACTTGAGTCTGTGTGACAGGCGGGATGAAGTCATGGGCTCTGTCCTTGAATCGCCCGTGAATCGCCCGGGGCACCAGGCTCAACCCTACTTGGCACTTGAGGACATCAACAGCCTTGAGGGGAAAACCAACTTGATTCGGAATGTTTGGACACATAACAACAATTAATCTGTGTGCCACCAGACGGAACATTGGTGTGAACTATGAATTTCCGAGCTGGCAGGTACGGGTTGGACCTTCAAAAAGTGAAGCAAAAGATCATGAACAATCAAAGTAAGGCGGATAGGTAATCTTTGAGCTGAAAATCCAAGTGAAAATATTCCTTAGATGGAAAGCCGAGCCAAGATGGAGGCTGAGGTGGAATTCCTGAGTAAATTACGAACCACACCTCCCAACTTTGACAGGGCAAGTTTTATCTTTCCATTTGGAAGATGATAGTGTTTCCGTTTATATAGTCGAAGAACTTTTCAGTTTACAGTTTGAATGCACAACGTCTCACTCTATTTCACTCTTTTCGTTGGAATCACTCAGCAATTGATCGTTGTTCATATTTTGTATCTTCCTTTCATCATAGTATAATATCCGACAACTATCGTCTCATCTTACCCTTCTGTTTTCTAATCAGAGTCCAATAATCTGATTAAACGCACGCGCTTTTCCAGTCTTCGAAATCACTACCATTGACCTAAGGCCACATCAAGAAAGGTTTATTGAAAGTAGTTTTTCTACCTGCCCAGACTTGCGGTCTCAGCCAACAAGTTTTTTCGTGAGCAGCCTTTTGATCTCTTGCTCTTCATCATCGTCCTATAACTCAAGATATCACAGACACCTTTGCCTTTAGCCTGAATTTCTGTGACACGTCCCCTCGTATTGGAAAGAAGAAAAAACCTGTCAGCACATCATCACTGCAGAGTTGACTTTGCTTCTCAACCAAGTTTTAAAACGCGATGTGCGTGAAAAAGGATTTGATTACGACTCATCCTTATGCTTCGTGTGACTAATGCATGGAGTTTGTTGTTATCTCTGACTTCTGGATGCAGAACGCCACTAAAGCTCGTGGCCTTTCCCGATCATAAGCCACTTCGTCCGTTCATTTGCACTTCGTGAGTCTGCGCACCTATTTGTTTTGGCCAGTCTTCCTGGAGCTCGTCAAGAGATTACCTAGTAGTTGTACCTTACCAAGCTTCTGACACCAACATCCGATTCCTACCACTAGCGCGTCAATAGCGATAGGCGGTTCATACTCCTGGATCACTTCGTTTGAATTGGATTTCGAGTACCTCTTCTATATTCTCTGATTAGACTTTGAGCTGTAGTTTTAGACCTCTGCCAAAATGACGACCAAGATTTCCAACAGATCCCGATCATGCGATCAGAAGCGGGAGAAATCCTTACTGACGTCACCGGCCAGCAGTAGCAAATTGTCAGGTAAATTTGAGTCTGAACGGATACCTACTGAAGTATGGTTTCGGATATTCTCCTTTGTGATTGAATCTGCTTGCCGGCACGAGGAAGTCGACCACTTCCACTTGGGTTGGAGGGATGAAGTAGAAACGCTGATGTTCGTATAATTTTCGTCTTGAAAATTGGACAGACCACTTGGTCTCTACACAAAACCGATAGATGCTGATTATGATTATTGGACTGGTATCAAATGGCAAAAATTGCGCCATGTTAATGTCACGCACTCCGCGTGTATCCTTCTGGCTCGCCGTGATTTTCTTCTTTGCAGCGATGTAGAAGAAAGGTCGAAAGCCCTTGCCCCTATTCGCCTTGTATCCCGTCATTGGCTTCATCTCAGTACCCCGCTGTACTTTCAAAAGCTTTTGGTCCCGAACCGGAATGATGAAGTCTACTCGGCATATATTCTTCGCCTAACGCATTTGTTAGCCGCTTCACCGCCGCCACGCGTTCCAAGAGGGCACAAAGATATCCCTTATGGCCAACACGTTCGAGAAATAATCATCAAGATCACCAATCCTTGTGCAATCTCAGATCTTCTTCTTTCCATCCATCAACTTGTCCCACACGTCGTCCAATTATCCTCGCTGCGTCTTAGTCAGCTACCGAGCTTACTCAGTCCTGCAGTCGTGTTTCCCCGATTGAATTCTTTAAGTGAGCTCAGCGCAGTAACGATCCCGACCCCTTCGGCTACCTTTTGTCGCCATATGAATGGCCCGTCGCCAATCGCAGTCGAGGAAAGCTTCCTTAGCCTTGTGAATCATCATCCGCTTTTACAAAGACTTTCTTGCCGGGGCTTTCGATTAGACTCTTCTCGCTTCATCGATATACTCCGCTCGAGCTTGTTATCTGTTCCTCTAGTTGATCATCTAAATACCTCAGCGTTAGAATTTTCAGGTCTTCGATCACTTCATTTCGGACTGGATTGTGTCTTGGATCTTGAGCTACTAAAGCGTCTTCCAAGTGCGACACCGTTTTTAGAACAGTTGAGTTTTTGTGACTACGGTGGAAGCGCATAGTTTTGTCGAGCTGATGAAATCTAACCTTGCATCATTGAATTTAGATTACACGTAGATGCTGGCTGTCGGATCATAGACGAACAAAATGTTACTGGAGGCGTGGACAGATGGAATATTCTGAAGCTCGTCGGAGCACTTCCAAGCCTATCAAAATTCAGTCTTATTGGCCGCCAGTCACTTCCTAATCCGGAAATGGACTGGTGGGAGTGCGAAGATATTTTAAAGGTCTGCATCAAACTTCATAATTTACCGAGATGCACAATTCACTTATGACGGCGGTGTTATTGATCTGATACAGGTTGGCAAGAATTTGAAGCAGTTGAATTTGAGGATAGGCTCAACGGGAGAGGGAATTTTAAGTGACATGCAGCAGCTGAAAGGGCTAAACATATGGCACAACTCACATGTTCACGGTTACGAAGGATGGGGCATCATACCCATCAAACACACTGTTGAAGTTGGAAACCTTGGACGTGCACTATGTCGGGCAGGGCTAGCGTGGCCTAGTGACGAGAATGGAAGGAAAGACATCTGGTTGAAGCTAAAATCATTAACATCATCACTGCATCACATAAATTCCAGCTCACAGAGGTCTAGTTTTTCATAGAAACACTAAGCTTCTTATGCGATTGAGAGACTCATCTTCATTGTCTATGTACTACAATCAATTTTTGGAAACTGCATCAACTTAATCTGGATCTTGTCAAATGTATCGGATTGCAATCACATTGGGGGGTCTATATGTCTCAATTCTGAACGTCGCGTAGCACATGAGTTCTTTTCATTGATTTCATATCTTCATTTCAGTCTCTCTTCATTGTAAATATGTTTACTTTACCATCCATCATTAGCATGTATCATTCTACCTTGAATCGTTTACAATACTTATCGACCACGATTTTATCAGACCACGTCATAGGTCAAGGAAGCCGTGTTTGGCTTCAATCACCATACTCTTGTTCGATCCTGCCGTCCATATTAATTGTTATCCATATTCATGTAAAGCAAAGTTGCAGGTAGGAGCTTTTTATAAGCTGGGAAGTTGTTTTTTAAGCTTTTCTTTCTCTGTGTTGAAAATCCGCAAAAGAATTTCCAAGATTATCCAGATGAGTCTCAAAAGTAGAAACGATCTAGCATATTTCAATAGGGACTGTTCTCATTTGAGAAAAAAAATGTCATGATAATAATCAAAAAAGAATGAGTCTCTTGTAGTAATCCGGAGATATAAACAATCCAAAGTGATATGAAAGGATGAAAAGATAATAAAAATAGGATATATTGAAATGTTATATGATGATGATGATCAAAGAGAATGAAGATTTCATGAGGTTTTTATTTCATGTTTATATGATTGTAAGATATTGTTGAAGATTGCGAAGGAACTCATTGGGATCTCGCGCGCAGAATACTGCAGTCACTTCAGATTTATACCACTTACAAAGATGTGAAGAGAAGTGGAAATATTGGGAAAGTCTAAAAAATCCCCTCCTGTCCGTAAGGCATGGTAAGGGGCATCTTGAAACCGAGTCTTCTGGAAGGTTTTAGAGGCGCAATATCCGAGTTGGTGAAGGGATTAAAGTCTTCAACAAGCTTCTACATCACTTTATCCAATCATTCAGTAGTCAAACAAATGAAAAATAGCTTGGTCAGTGCTCATGTAAAAACAACAAGGTATAGAGACTAGATCTTACTTCGGATACATTCGAGTATGAATGATCAGTTTGACGCGAATCTAGTGATTCCCGATAGATCTCAAGCTTTCGAGATCCCAATTTAGGCAACTTTTTCTCTTGAATGATTTTGTCCGATTCTATGAGTGGTCGTCAACTGAGCAGAGCCAAAGTTGAGGGGAAATCAGGGGTCGTTTGTTGCATACGACTTTCCGGTCTCGCTTTTTGCCACTTCGAAGGTCTCTTTTTGGGGGAAATTTGGAAGATTCGCAGAGTTTGAAGTAGATTGAAACCTCTGTGTGATAATCAAGATGGCTGGAGGTGTTCTATTGCTTCGGAGTGATTTCCTAATCAAAAGTGTTAAATAAGAATACTACGCCCTATGAATAATCTAACCTCATTCATATGGAAGTCTCGTCTGATTTCGAAACGAGTTGTTGTAATAATTTGATGATCCTGGTGGGTCTAATGGAGCCTGACCACGAGGTTGGGTATAATGAGGTACTTCTAGGTGCTCAGGCGGATAGTACGAGTACCTTGACTGAGCATCTATATCTGATCCCTCTAGCTCTTGTCGATATTCTCTTCCAAAGTAGTTTGAGTCATATCTTGATCTTGGTGCTACAGAAGAGTCTTCTTCAATTGCATACTTCAACTTGCCTCTGCGATCAAGCGTGTACCGTGGATCATAGGGCCTTTCATCTGGATGCATCACATCATACTCCGGTTCATTTATTGTGTATCTTGCATCAATATGTTGGCCGGTTGGACTGGCAATTGATGTCGGCGCATGATAGTAACCATCAATATCGTATGTCGATGGCTCCCTACGCCACTGCTTTTCGGTCGTATGTGGATTGTACTCGTGTCTTGGCAGAATGGGTGGAGGAGGTCGCGGATTGTAGAATTCCATAGATTCTCGAGCGTAGATGTTATGATTCGGTTGGGTTGGATAAACTTTCCCCGGCGGCGGCAAAGGAGGATAAGTCATGTTGGACGTTGGTGGCGGTCTCGTGAAGGAAGGATGAGCTTCTCCAGGCGGCCGAATGTAATCCATTGAATATGGACCTTCAGATGTTTGAAATTGGGAGGAGGCTTGTTGACTTCCTTCGACTGAAGACCGCTGTTGGCGCTTACTAGATTTCATCTTGAAGATAATCACCCCGATGATCACGAGTAAAACTCCAACCCCACACGCGATACCAATGATCATCAAATTCTTCTTGCTGTCAGCTTGTGCTGGTGGTTTACGTGTTTTGGCAGTTGAACCTGGCTTTAGCGGACTCCCAGGTTTATTGGACGGTCTAGGAGCCAAAGGACTAGCACGCGTAGAAGCTATTTGAGTAATGCAGGGTAATCACATGTGATCAGTGACAGACAAAACATCATGATCTAGTCAGACAGCTCTGAACCGAACTCAATACACATAAGAATATCTATGCTTACAATTTGAAGGCGTTGTTACTGCAGGAGGATTGGCTGGCTGGCTGGTTTGAGAGCTTTGAGGTGGTGAGGGTGCAGCAACTTGAGCAGGACGGGCGGCAGTTGCTGGGTTTTGCTGAGCACCATTTCTATTGTTTGCCGAAGCTGGAGTAGAGGCTGGAGAAGCGCTAGCACGAGGAGGGGGAGCCGATTGAGAAGGACGTGATGAAGTTGGATTTGTTGGACTTGAAGGGGAAGGTTGGGAATTGGGAGGGGCAGATTGGGAATTCGTTGGGCGTGTGGCGGCTGTGGTAGGAGATGCAGTAGTGGTGATGGGTCTAGGAGGTGTTTGCCGACGAAAAAGATCAGGCAACATCGACGCAACATCTGGGTACCTTTGCCGAGCCAGATTTATGTTTTGTAGCTGGTGAGTGAGATCCACTGGTTGGATATTTTGGCCAATCTGAGCATATTTCATGATGGTATGGGTGCTGCGGGGTCTGAATGAGTGAATTGAGTCTAGAAACCTGTGAAGTTGCATATCTAACGTGAGCATTGAGCCATATCATGCGGTGCAATCGGTAGCTGATGTTGATAAAAATTATTGAAAAAGAGGAAAGAAATTAGTGATGGGTCCAAGAGACGAACTTTGCTTTCCAAACCTCTTTTTCTTAATGATTTTGAGGGGGTATTGTCAAGTGACCTCGTCGAGCGGATTAGAGTGAGTGAAACGACACCAGACTGAAGTCGAAATCCCAAATCGTGGTGATCCGTCACTTGGAGGTCGCGCAAACAAAAAAACAAGATGATGCGGATTGGGAATTGTTCTCCAACGCGATCTCGCTCTTGGTGAAGAATATTGTGTCAATGATCACCATGCGCCACAAAAGTTGATGTATCACTTGTTACAAAAACCTTCTCGACCATGATGAAGAAGGTTCTTCGAAGGGTTCGAGTCACTCAGCTACAATTGTGCGATGTTTGAGAAGTTGAGAAACCCTTCGGATCAATCCGTGACTGTAAGAGAGGAAATAGAATTACCGTCCACATGACAAACTCCCACCAGTACGAATTTCATTGCAAAGGTGAATTGAAGTTGTTGTCAAAACTATCAAACGGAGCCCGTCGTCTGGCCAACCTTCCTGAACAACATTGGATGGAGTTTCAGATCCGATTAGGAATCTGGGTCACCAAACCCAACCCAAAGCCACATTCTTTACCTTACCATCTCCAAATCTTATCCATGCCGTCGAAGCCCATAATCACAAACTGCACATAACCGGAGTCATGCAATATTCTTTCATTCTAAGCACATCTGACTCTGAGATCACATAACTTGGAATTTGCATCCGATGGACTCGAAGCAGGCTGTATCGATTGTTTAGGATAGAGGCAGACACGAAAACACATGTCGAGCTCTTGAAGCCATCTATGGTAATGCTCAATGGGTTCACAATGAGGTTATATCAAAGAGGGTTCGACCAGGTCAGAAGCCGGAATTCGAAATCATGCAGAAGCCCAACCCGTGCTCGACCCTTGAACTGGAAATGTCACATAAGGGTGCGATCTTGTTTGTTGTGATGAAATGCTGACGGTATATTTATAATTTCACCATGTACCCGGTTTATGAGTGTCTATCGATTTGTTTTGCACAAATCGAACTCGATTTGCTTGGGTGATAGAGAAAGTCACAAAAAGGGTAGAAGTTTGAGGATGATGAACACTGAACAGAAAGCATGATGAGGTGATGAGGATGAGCCAGACCCAGCCTAAAGACCCTTTGATTGGGTGACGAGTTTAAGATCTGAATAAGATTCATGGTATATGGGAGATTGTGGAGAAATGGTCCGAGCATGAGTCTGAATGTGTTCATCAAGTTGTCATCAACTTTGACTCATTTTCACTTTGTAAACTTGAACATCAACGTATCAACAATCGATTGTCTTTGAGTTTACCCAAGAAAGGCTTCTCAAACTGAGTCTGAGCCCATAACATCCATAAGTAGTATTCAATCGATGATATCTTCATTTCTGAGTCGATCGTATTCGTAACAGAGGATTTTCTGATTTCTATTTATTCAACCCACATCCTACTATACGAACTTTTTCATCTACAGTCTGAGTCTCGATAACTGACTTTTCATACGCACCAAAGCTCTCAACTTGATATCATGAATGGTAAACAAAAATCTGCTGTGTTCCAATCGGTCATGATACCATATACTCCCCAAGCTCCAGAAGACAGTAGGCATCATAAAAGGGCGAAATTGAACGACGGGCATCATGCCCAAGAACTCGACCCTGGTTCTGAGTCACCCCCTGGTAGGTCGCCCTGCTTTTCAGCAACACAAAGTGGATTGGATCACTGATCAAAAATCATGTTTCCTGGCTACAATATTTTGATCAGCTTTCTCACCTCAGGGAAGTGATAATCGACATCAAAAGACCCTCAGATCGGGTCGAACTTGGATACCTACTCCTCTTCATGAATTAGAGCCAGAGTGGGCCAGAAATCGAACCGAAGTAGTCTCCTCGGCGGCTTCCGCGTCTAGTGTCTCGATATCAAGTCCAGGTATGTGGTTCTCTATACTCAACTTTTCATCTTCTAAAATCTGACTTTTGAGATTAATTATTGATGAAATTGAATTTTTCCATTCGGACTCGTAAGACACGGTGTCTCCGATGGCTAAGAAGATCAAAAAAATTATATGCGGTCCGAATGGCTCAAGTAGTCGTATGCTTCGAGACAACAATGGACGGGAAGCCCCAAGAAAGAGCTTCGGTAAGGATGATAATATATTTGATTATCTTACATTCATAGATTTAAAGATAAGATCTTATAGTTTTCATTGATTTTGGGTATAATAAAAATTGATCAGTAGGACAAACTAAGGATACGACACCATCGAACAAGCTTAAAGAGATTCACGGTCCGTTTTTACACAACTCGAGATCTAGCCTTTGTTATTTGTCTGTTCTGATGTGAGGAATTCCTTGCAACAGCACCGGTCAAATTCACAGCAATCCAACCACCATCAAACTATCTAGGATCACAAAATGCTAAAGTAACACCCCGTCCCGCCGACAAGTTATCAACAGATCGATTTAAAAATACGCCAAGAGCAAACGAGCTTGGTAAAGCGGCCATAGGTCAGGATTTCCAAAACCGAGATTCAAATATTTTTCACCTGTTCTAATTAGACGACGTTCTTTCAACAGCCCCACGCAAGCCAAATGCAGCCCAACAACGATGTATAGAAGAAGCCAAAGTAGCACAACGTATAAAGCACAGAGATAAAATAGGACATCAATTGATGGCGGAATTGCTTGATATGGGAAATCGATCACGAGATGTTCAAAGTGTATGTGCTGATCGATTCAAATGGAACATGGAGTATTGGCTTGGTTACTTTAAACAAACTACAAAAGTGTTAATATTGGGCCCGGTTAGCACCTTAAGTAAATCCGAAGGTAAGAAAGGGAAGAAAAAGTCTTTAGGTCAAATGGATTGGTCGGTAAAATGTGAGATGGACGCCTTAGAATTATGCATTTTGAATAGTAATGGTGATCCTCCGACCCGATCATCTGAATGGCTTGAAAGTTATGCTTCAGAGGAGTTCACTTGTGTGTTCTTTCATAGAGCCTGCGTTGAAGAAATCTTTGATGAAGCCAAGTCCTCGCTATACAAGATGACTTCTCAACGACGACCTAGAATTCAATTCCTTGGTCAGTAATTCCACTAGCACAAATTTTTGTTGGATACCGTACTGACTTTGCTCTTAATGCTTGTCAATGTCTTGATATACAGAATTTGGAAATGGCGCTTCTAGTCCCTCTCCAAGGGTAGAGCCCATTTTAAAGGCAGGCAAGTATTTGAACATCAAATCAAATTGATTCAAGATTTTATGAAGTTAAACTGATTGAGCCATGTCTCCTACTGTGAATTCAGGTGCAATTATGATCCCAACCTTGTGCAGTTTAATCAAATCAGCAGAACAAACAGAACAAGACAAAATTTATTATCGATTACGTGATGCAAATAAGATCAATCCATTTTTACGAATCTTTTTACCAAGAATGGAAGCACCAGAATCGCATGAATTAGACAAAATTCCAATAGAAGATTCGATGGAATTATTAGATAGTTTTCGTTCAATGAATGATTCAATTCATCTTCCTTTAGAAGAATTTGTTTTATCTACTGAAATCGGATTTCAATTACTTAATGAAACTTTTGGAAAAGATGATATGGATGAAGATGATTATTTTGATGATGTGAATTCTGAAATTAAAGAAATTGTAAAGGCTTTGTTGGTGATTGGAAAAAAATTAAGAAATCATTTTCGTAGGTTTATTTTACTTGTTGACAATTCTTCACCTCTTCTCAAGAAACCAGATCATACGAGATTCAGCGGGGTACGTGATGCTTTTTCGCTTCTTTTGTGGTTCTTTTGTTAGAGCTGACCAATTTCTGACTTGCGTCGCTGCTTGTTTTCAGATTGAAGTAATGTCTATTGAAGCGGGATGTAAATTGGCTGAAACCAATGAATTTTAATGCTCAAGTCAACTTTGGCTTTCAAAGTTTTAGTGAATGCACTGATTGTTTAAAAAATATGATTACTGTCTTTTGTTTGTATCTACTATGTTTGTGGAGATAGTGTCAGCCAGAGTGTGAGTAAAAATGGCTTCATGATTGTTTTGAAAAACTGGAGAAGGTTTGTATGACAAGTTCAACAGAAAATTCATTTAGTTGCCTGGTTTTACATTCAGACTACTTGAAGAGTTTTCGCAAGATAGTGTGTACTATGATCTCCCAAAGAAGCCCAACTTGAAACCCCCTCATGAATTACAAAAACAATAGCAATTTGCTTGAATTTGAATACAAGAATGAAGCGCTAGACTGTGAATCTATAAAATCTTGTCTAATGACACTGGTAGGTCAAAACAAAAAAACAAAGAAGCATGAAATACTCCTAAAGCACTCACAAAAGGAGATACAATGTAGCAAAGTAGACAATTAGAAAGTAAATTGTAAGTTGGAGCACACATCACTACTAGTACAGCTAGAATTTCATAGCAATGAGTTCTATAAAGTGGTGTTTCATCTCTCCTCAGCTTCACTGCATTGAATTTGTAGTATCAGATGTACCAGGTTCTTGGCAATCCTATCCCTCCAATCTTCTTACTCAGCAATGATAAATTTCTATCAAAAACCTCTGTTGCCAAGAAGCCTAGCTCAGTTGAATTTCCAAGCACTCCCTTTGAGAGTGTGGAGGTCCATGATTTTAGAAGATATTTCACATATTTAATTGGGATTTGCTTTCTTGCCAATCCTGCCAATTCCCAAAGTCTTCGAAAAGATTTTTGGGTATCCAGCCAATCTTTATCAGATTTGTATCCTACTTCTGGTGCAGTGAATAAGACATTTAAGTTTCCCTCAAAATCTAGTTGGTTCCACTTGTTGAATTCTCCCTTCAAAAATTTCCATGCATTGGAACTGATCATCTTGAGTTGATCTTCTGTAACATGATCTTGGTGAAGTGCCCTGACAAGCCCTATGAATCCTACAGTCACTCTATACTCTACCATACTTAAAGCCTGAACAATCTTTTCCAGATTTGACTTATGTATATTTGAATGTATGTCATTGGACTGTGACATCCTTTGCATTTCATTTGTGACTATAGGTATATTACAGTGGTAAAGAGTTCTGTAGGAATTTAATAATCTGTCAAGTAAGGATCCAAAGAATTTGTGGATATCATGACACATATCAAAACCTTGAGGGGACAGAAACTCTGCCTGCTGGAAGAGGTCTTCCATTGTCTTGTGTTTGTGATTTTGGGACATGGACTTTCTTGTTCTGCTTTTGGATTGCAATACCTCCCATGCTGGGTTATTTATCCCAGCTCTTGAGTAAAATCCACCTTGTCTATATATAAAATCTGGATCATAAACATGCAGAGATTTTTGCTTCACCTTCTCTAGATCAATGGGAAGATCATGTGACACTGGCTCATACTTGGTCCATTCATATATCAAACATGTGAATATTTGGATTGCTATAGTTGTGAGTCCATAGGTATCTGCCAAGTATTTTAATAAAAAATTAGGTTCCAACAGATATGTTGCCTCATTGGTGTGAAGTGTTGTTCGAGATGTTCTATCCCCAGGACTGCTTTGAAAGTTTATATCTTTGAGACTTATTGTGTACCATTGTGAAAAAAACCTTTTCAAAAACTCCCATCCATGCCACATAATATCTGTCTGCAAAGCCATATCATCTCCATGATGATGATGGACAGACAGGATACCCAAGAAAATTGCTGTGACATGGATTTGGGCACATTTCAAAGCTTGACAAACATTTTTAATTGCAATGTGATCTTGAGGCAGGTCTTTGAGTAGATTGGTATTCATATTATAAAACCAAAGGGGAATTTCATAACAAAGGCTAGGAGTTCTGGACACCTGGAAGGTACCAATCTTCTGTAAAGTTTGCATTGCATCTCTTGATTCCTGCCTGCGTGACTGTTTAGCTATCCTAGCATTAAATTTTTCTTCATCAACTGAATGATTGATACTGGCGCCTTGATTTTTAGAATTTACATTTGCCAAAAGCCTTGAGATACTTCCTGATGTTGAGGCCTGAAGTCTATCATTGGGGTGTGCCAAAGAGCTTTCCAAGGTATTTTGGTCTCCACAGATTATATCATGTTTTTCATTATGCAAATCCAAAGCTTTCCTCTTTCCAGAAGACAATTTCTTTTGATTGGTTAGATTTGGTTCAGATTGATTGCTCAGGCCTCCACAGATTATATCATTTTTTCCATTATTCAAATCCAAAGCTTTCTTCTTTCCAGAAGACAATTTCTTTTCATTGGTTAGATCTGGTTCAGATTGATTGCTCATGCTTTCAAATCCCTGTTCCACTACCTGGGACAATTCATTCCAAAGTGGTGTATCAGTGCTCATTTTTGCCTGGAGGGGATATTGATTGTGGCATGATTGCAAATCTTCTGGTGTTGAAATATAGTTTTGAGTGATTTGTGGTGTGTATTGACCAGGCTGAGGATCTTCCATATTTATCAAAGCAGATCTGTAACTTTGAATATTATCCTCCGCTGGGTTAGTAGTACTAGTATGTTCCAGTTGATTGATGGATTCAGACATCGAAGGATTCCATGGCTTATTCCAATAAGCTGTATGAACATGGTTCATGTCTGCTGCCAATCTTTCTGGATGTGTGATGAATTGGCTTATCTGAGGATATCCCAGACCCTTCCAGCCACATCCATACTGATTGAAATCATCTTCCATCAGGTTGTTTGAGTTTTGTAGATGATGCACTGGATCAAAGCTAAAGGAATTTGCCAGTGAGTCTACATCATATGTGTGACTCTGGTGCACAGCTGGTGATTGTGTTGCAAGTATTGATTCTTGGTTCATTAAAGGCCTCTGTTTTAGCATCATTGGTTGGAAGCTGTCACCCCATGTTGGTGTGATCCTCACATGAGGGGCCTGTGTTTGCTGACCTAATAATGTGTGATGATCATATATCTGCAATTCATTGGTCATGAAGTTCTCAAACTCTAGTTGTGAAATTGAGTCATATTGAGATGTATGATGATTCAAATAAAGGGGAAAAGGTCTATCTGTGGTTCCAATAAGATTAGCTTGATGGTTTTCCGTACTTTGTCCATTAACACACATAAGATATCCGTTATCAAATGCAGTAAATGATTGTGTTGCTTGCCAAGTGGGGAACTCTTGTGTACTTTCACAATTGTATTGGTCTCCAGAATGACACTCAACACTTGCAATTGTAGCCAATTCATGAGGTTCCAAGATCCTTGAATTCCAGTCACTGTCTCCTGGTAGCCAGTTTATATCATGTCCTTTGAATAATTTGGGGTTTATGGGTGGAAGGTTGTGAAAATTGTCTCCCATATTGGTGTTTAGGAGTTCATCATTGTGCAAAAGGTTCTTTCCCAATGAGACATCCAGGTTCAAAAGTTTATTGCTCTCTGAAACATCATGTGTGATGAGTGATGTAATGGGGATGGGCTGGAATGCAAAGCTTGATGGAAGCAGACTTAAACATATAAGAAGAAACCAAGAATTTTTCATCTTTGATGCCGGTGAATACTTGGCCCTTTTGAAGACAAAGAACTGAAAAGGGTTTTGATAAGACTTAAACAAGAATCTAGAGAAACATGGAATTGAATACACCTTACATGTGTCACTTGAGATATTTTGTGTCTGTTGTTGAGGCAATTCTACACATTTTGCCTAGATACTGGGACAGGTTTTAAGTATCTGAATTCAGTAAACAAATGAGTATTGTAAATGAATTGAAATGTTATTTATGATAGGACCCAGGAATGGGCCTATTGAGATTTATGACAAAATTTCCAATGTTTGAGACCTTGAATCAGGCTAAATCAAAAAATCTTGATTGCAATGTTTGTTGTCACAAACCACATCCAGACAATTTTTTTTTGTGCAGGCCTCAAAACAAAAGATCTGGCCCCTTTCACGTGCAGGCACAGGGCTGGGTTAATACACAGCCATGTTGACTGTTGGCTGGTTCTTGGGAAAATCAAGTATGGAGACACTTTTTGATAGATTAATCACAAAACTTGAATCTGGACTACAATGGTGGCCAATTCTTGTGGTACCAGGACCAATACTAGTGTTGGGAAACAAGAAAACAATATGTGCAATCATGCTTTCAATCCTGTGTCACCACACAAACAATGAAGGTACAAATGCTTTATTTTGACATAAGCTTTGCCTGATATTGACAAAAACACTCAAATTCAAGGTTAAGTTCCAAATTTTTTGTCACAAACTTCATTAGAAGCATTCCTGGGTCCTGTTATAATATGTCTCATATTTGTTATAAGGATCTTTTGGTTTTCTTGAATTGGTCATTGTTATGACTGGCGTACATGGAAATGCAAGAGACAAGTGCTGAAGATGTTCCTGTGATGCAGATAGATTGCTAAACGGGGATACAAGCCTCTGCATGGAGAAAAGTATAATGTAGATGACTATGTACATAAGTGACTAAGTACGTATTGTGCCAAGTAGGTCACAGCATTCATTGCAAGGGTACTTAAAGTAAGTGTGTTGTGCTCCATATGTAGCAGGACATAGAGTTCGATTTTCTTTCTTTGCAGGGAAGATGACATTTTGAAGTACCTAATTTGCCAAACATCATTCAAAATGTCACTTTCCCTGCCAAAGATGAGATTTAAATGATATTACCCCTTGGAATCTATGTTTGGTAGCATTTGTAGCACAACATACTTACTTTGAGTGCCTTAACTGAACTAAGAATCTTTGAGAATATGTCTGGCAAAGTTCTTGTATTAGCCCCAAAGCATAGTTTAAATGGATTGAGCTTATGTTGAATGATAAACAGTGTTGAAACCGTTAGGGGGAGAGAATAACATCATGGGTCAAGGCATAGATTACTATATGTATACAGGTAGAAGTTAATAGGAAAGATAGGAAGATATTGCAAACGAGGGTCACTTGCATTGGGAATTCCATTGAATATATCAATGACCAATGAATACAACATATGGAAATTTTCAGAATAGAGAGAGAGGGATACCATTTGGCAGACTCACAGGGTGCCTTTAGAGAAAGGATGTAAGGATTGACAGTGAGCTATGAAATTCAGTCCTCCACCCCACTCTCCTACAAATAATAGTGATCACTGCACTACTTGCATGGTTGCATCTTTAACTCTACTCACTCTATAAAATGGACTACAGAGACAACTCTGCAATATCAGGGAAATCTTTCAATGCATAGGCAGTTTTAATAGGCACCTGTTTCATGGCATACATTCCAGGGAATAGTTTGATTCCAAGTTCACAGTCTATGCAACAGGTTGGATGGTGGGAAAGGTTAGGCCAGGCTTAAGTATTGAATCTGTATCAATATTGAGGTGCAGCTCCCTTTGATGAAGAAAGGGGAATTAAGTGTGCTTGTCAATCAGAAAATACCACCACATGTACAAAGTGAAGAGGACAAAAAGATTGTTTTTGAAGACTATAGTAGCTGAAGTATTACTCAGCAAGTCCAGTTCATCAACCAAATTGAGAATGAACATAAGCCATGCACAAAAACAAATTTCAATGCTCAACAAAGGACCAAGGAACAAGATCAAACGGCTTAGAGTGAGATTTACTGTGTACAGACAAATCTGGCTTGCACCGCTTGGCGCAGCCGCTCCATTGCCCCAGGAGCTGGGGCCCTGGTGGTTTTGCATTCCGTCAACAATCTGGCCCCAACATATCTGGGTGCAGTGCTTTCTGCTGACCACTTGGGTTTCAAGTTAAAAAATGCCTAAAATTCAAATGCCCCACATAAAAACATAGCTTATAATATTCAAATTTTTAAAAAACTTCTAGAAAGCCCTTCCCAAGAAGCGCATTCTAGTTTTTATTCTATAAAAAATGAATGAAAATTCAAGGGTTGGGAGGCAAAAGTACAAACATTTTTAGGCACTTTTTGGCCAACTTGAAACCCCCTAATGGACCTTTGACTCCCATGCAAGTCAAGATATTGATCACACCCAATTGTACCTTCACCTCCTACAGCCCACTTCTTTTTCAAGACACTCGGAATTGCCAAAGGAGCTGGTGACATAGGAAAAGTGCAATATATATCAGGGGGCAAACTCAAGCTGAAACACATGTATGAAATTGCAAAAATCAAGGATTGGATCCAGGCATGCATCACATCTCCCTAGAAAGTGTTGTGCAAAGTGTTTTAGCCTCAAGCTTACAATAATTTCACATACCAATTGCAGGCCATATCAAATCCAATCAACATCATCATTAAGTCAAGAAACATCAGTCTCAGAAGGGTGGTAGAGATCAAACTTGTAGCAATTGGAAAATCATGGATCAATCTCAATCAGTCTCTTGTGGTGGTGGAAATAGTAAATTAAAAGATATAATTGATGGAGCTGGTTTGGATCCACAACGTGATGATGAGAATGAGAATGTTGATTTGATTAAACAAAAGAAAAAGAAAACCAAATATCCATCTAGATGTTTTGTGGAAGGTTCTATTGATTGTGTTTGTATGATCAATAATACTTTATTCTTAAGTAGAAGTGATAGTGGGTAAGTGAAAACCCATTTTCAAAAAATGAATCTTCTTAAAACCAAAACTGATTGCAGATTAGTTTGTGCATATGTAATTCAATGTCACTTTGGAGTAAATATGAAAAGAAAGCAATCTTTCCCCAACCATTAGCACATGGGACTGAAAAAGAGAGCATCAATGAACTGACACAAGACAGTATTATAAAAGCAAGAAGGATTACATTGATTTCAGGTTTATTGTTTAGTAATTTATTTTGTTCTGGTTCTTGGGATAGCAACTTCAAGACGTGGAAACTAATTAAAGGTGGTCAAGGTAAATATGAAATCAAAAAACTGGATTGATTAAAGAAATGTCAATTGGAATTGGAATGATTAATAGGTTAGATATGGTATTTGAGAGGTCAAAAAATTGAAATATGAATGAACAAGTGGGTGTGGTTGGTATTGGGGTTGGTATTGCACATGAACATAGGCTAGATTGTTGGAAAAAGTAATAAAGGAGCTAAGAGTCATTATTGTTTGATCTTGATTGACTTATAATTCTTTGATTCTATGAAATCAAACAGCTTTTTTTTCTTTTTGGAAGTTTTTAAAAGCCATCAAAGAGTAACCTAGACAGTCTTGTTTTTAATATTGTCTTGTCTCACTTGTCAATTTTTTATTTCAATTGAGTTTATTTTCCTTTGTTCCCTTTACAGTCTTTCACATCCTTTTACCATACTAGATTATTTTAATGTTTCTTTACACTCTTTTATAAACAATTTATCAAGAAAGAAATCACTTTCAAAAAAAGTTACTCATTTTTTGCCTGCAGCGCTGTAGAGCACTGCTGAAAACAAGTTCTGCTGTCACTTGCTTAAATTTCTTGATTTTTTTCATCACTACCCTCAAAGTTACTCAATTTGGGAGAGCCAGATTTGAGCTGCACTGCTCAAAATAAGTTTGGCAGTGCTGCAAGCCAGGTTTGGTACAGATAAAAGTTTAAGAATAGATGGTAAGATATTTCACAGGATATCTTCATTTGTTTATTAATGCTTTATAGCTCTGAAAAACAGTGCACTTTGTGGACACCTTTTGTACCGGATTGCAGAGCTACAGTCCCTGCTGGGATACCAAATTGGTGGACAAAATTGTATCTTTATTTGACTGGATAACAGATTCTGGGAGGAACAGATTCCAGAGACCTTAATGTATCTTGGTGTTAACTGCGACATGAATTGGTTTGCCTGGGGAGATTCCAGACCCATACCTCTGGAGATTATGTTGAATCAATTTGACAGTGTGTTCTTGATGATGCTTGCAAGAGCCTGGTACATGATCCAGCTCAATATAGGGACAGGTTTGAGACCATTGGTATCACAGGTGAAAATTCAGACCACAAGAGTTCTCTGTATTTGACAACTTTCCAAGGTTTTGGATAGCAAGAAAGGAAAAATGGGGGTTCCATATTGTGTCATGTGGTATTTATGTAGATGAATTGGTCAAGTGATAAGTATGTTTATGCAGATTATAGCTTAGTATGCATATTATAGGTTAGTAGCAGACATATGTGAGACATGAGAAGGATGGATCACACAAGTTTAACATGAAACTATACACACAAATTTTGAAGCAAAGTAATATATAATTTCTAGAATAACTCACCAACACAGAATAGGACCAAAGTAAGACTTTATTAATTGGCATAGGAAGAGCTCTGAGCTTTCCAAAAGGCAAGTGCATTGAAAAAAAGGAGAAAAGACATCAATAATTTTCAAAGCATATTTGTTCAAAGATGAGAAAGTTGAGATAGTTTATGCAGTGATACATATAATATATGATCTTGGTTTGATTAACAGAACTTTTGAATGTACAACACATATAGCTGTGAATTTGAGCTTTGGGGTGATTCACTGGAGCTTTTAAGTAGTCAGGGATGATTAAAAATCAATGAGTGATGTGAATTCTCCAGACCTCCTTTGATGATAAATATTCTAGCAAAAAGGTTTGAAAGACTGCATAAGTTGAATTTACATGGAATAATTGTGAAACTGATTGTATCTCCTTGCTATGATTATGTCTTCTGGAATTCATAGGATTGTAGGATGACAGGTCAGTGCACACAAATTGAGTGTGCCTTATGTAATCACCTTGATCAACTCTGAAAATCCTCTATCAGTTATTTCTTTCAATGAGAAAGTTACTCCACTGGGACTTATGGCTGACTTATATTTCAACATAGCAGTCCAGGATTGTAGAAGGTATCTTACATATTGGAGAGGAATAGGGTCGTTAGAATACTTTGGCCATGACCAGAGTTGCTTGAAAGTTAATTCCATATCTGACCAATACTTTCCACATTTCAATGATGGTGTTGGGTCTGCAAATAACTTCCCAAGGTTCTGGCTGCCAAAGTCCAGCTGTCTCCACTTACTGAATTCTTGCTGCAAAAAACTCCATGCACTAGAAGTGATGGTCTTGAGCTCATCTTCTGATTCAACATCTTTGTACAGTAATCTGACTATCCCTATAACTCCCACAGTCACTCTATACTCTGCCATACTCACAGCCTTGGCAATCTTTAACATGTTTGATTGATGCAGGTCAGGTTGCTTTCTAGACTTGAGAACTTCTTCCCTTATACTTCCACATGTATCAAGCTGAATGTGGTAAACTGTATCATAAATTTCTAATAGTCTTCGAAGCAAGGGGCTAAAGAATATATGGACATCTTGACACAGCTGAAATCCTGCAGGTGAGAGAAACTTTGAATGCCAAGATATTTCTTGGAATGTTTCCTTGTATATTTGTTCTTGAGGTGGAAATTGCAATTCCTCCCAGGCAAGGTTTCCTATCCCAGCTCTTGAATAAAATCCACCCTGCATGATAAGATCTGGATCATAAACACCCAGAGCCCATTGATTCATGTAGCCTATATCTGTACTTGGAAGCTTCAATGTAGGGCGATTACTGTTCCATTCTTTGACCAAAGAGGTAAACAATTGGAGCTTGATACTTCCAAGTGAAGAGCTGGATGCCAAGTATTCAAATAACAACTGAGGTTTGAGACAATCAAATGCTTTGTCATCCTTGATCTTTCCTTGAAAGCTGATTTCTTTTAGATGTATTTTTTCCCACTTGGAAAACAACCACTTTATGAACTCCCATCCATATCTCAGTATATCTCTCTGGACAGCAATGTCTACACCATGGCGAACATAACTCATCAGCAGCCCCAAGAAACTCATTGTAACATTTGATTGACCACTTCTCAATGCCTGAGCAATTTTCACATTCAAAATATGATCTCCAGGAAGGTTTTTCTTCAGATTTTCACTCAGATTTTGAAACCAAAAAGGGATTTCATAACACAGAATTGGATCATTATCTACTTTGAAACTACCCATCTTCTGGAAAAGGTGGATTGCATTCATTCCCAGCTTCTTGAATGAGATATTTGATTTGAAATATCTTTTGGTACCTAATTTACTGTGATTGATGGGTAATCTTGTTAAAACTCCCTTTCTGTCTTTTTTCAAAGGGCTTTTGAATTCTGGCAATGGGTCTGAGATCTTGAATTGGTATATATTCCTTGGATTTAGTGCTGAAGTTTTGATTTGAGTGTTGACGGCTGAATTCACCTGAACTCCACTGTGTATATCATGGGGATTAATCTGCATATCCAACAACTTTCTCTTTCTAGAAGACAATTGCCTTTCATGGAAGCCAACAGGTTCATATTGATGGTTTTTACCTATATATGCATGGTCACCCAAGCCAGAGGCCCCATTCAAAATATTGTCATTCTTATCAGTATTATATTGTGCTTGGAGGGGGGATTGATTCTCTTTAGGCAAACCACAGTTATGTATATGGTGTGATATCGATTGATCTGTCTGGGGATCTTCCAGATTCATCCAGTCATATTCATCCCCTTGGGTATTGTTGTCCATCAGGTCTTTAGTGGGTTGGATGCAATTAGCTGGAGCAGTAACCAAAGCATTATCCAGTGTGTCTAAACTGTGTGTGTGACTGTGGTGCATAGCTGGTGATGATGTTTCAAGGATTCTTTCTTTTTTAAAAAAGGGGTTAGAGTCAATAATTGGATAAAAGTTTTCTACTGATGCAGGTGTTGCTCCCAGTAGTGGTAGATGGGTTTTTTGACCCAATGATGTGTGATGATCATTTCTGATGAAATTTTCAAACTGTGGGGTTGAGATTGAGTGATCATGATTTCTGATGAAATTTTCAAACTCTCGGGTTGAGATTGAGTGATCATGAGGAGTAGGCTGATCATGGTGAAGAATAATCAGATCTTTTCTTATTTCAATTGGATCATCTTGATGGACTCCTATAAGTTTCCCACTGCCATTCAAACAGCTTCCATCTTCTGTTTCAGGAAATACTTGTGGGTGATACCAATTCCATGTTGGAATCTCAATTCCACTAACCAGATTGAACTGCTCTGAAGAATGAGATTTGGTTTGGCAGTGATCTTGGAATGTAGGCTGAATAAGGTTGGGAAGAGATGGATTTTGTGCTGTCTCAATAAGCTCATCTTGATGAATTCCCCTACTTTGTCCATTACCATGCAAAAGAACATCATGTTCAATTTCAGAAAAGAAATCTGGGTTGTCCCCCATAGGAAGTTCTTTTCCACCAAACAAATCAAACTGGTCTCCCAAATGGGGCTGGATTGGTGGAATTGTAGCTGATCCAAGGTTTGCCATGATGTTTGTATCCCAGTACTGGTTCCCTTGAAGAAATTTGATGCCATTTCCTTCCAAAAAACCTGGACTAGGGTGAGGAAGGTATTGAATTTTTTTCCCTTCATCAAAGTTCAAAACTTCACCATCATGAAAAATATTGTCCCCTGGTGGTATTTCAAAGGTCAATGCCTTACTTCTGTCTTCAACTCCATGTGTGATGATTGATCTTGTGGGCCCAGCCTGGAAAGCAGAGCTCAATGGAAACACTTTCAACAATAGAGTAAGAAACCAAGGCTTAGTCATCTTTGGAAGGGTGATGGTTGGTAGTCCAGTTGGTGCACTCAAGTTGAAAGTGTTTCTTATCAGAAACAGATGAGACTCTGGCCAATATATATGGAAGTGAATGCACCTTGTGTTATTTGAGTATCAAAAAAGCCTGGTGTAGAGGCTGAGATGCATAATCTTGCAGCTTACTACATGTGTCAGTTTGATACAGGGGTGGTTTCAAGTGCCTGGATCCAACACACAGATGAAGTGAAATCATTTCACAAATTAATTGGAAGATTAGTTAAAGCATGTCTCAAATGTGTCACCCAGACCATTTGGCTCTAACTTCTAAGCCAATAGGGGGTTTCAAGTTTGGATTTGTTTTGCATATTTTTTAAAAATTCCAACAAGTTGTTCATAAAGATTATCTTTGTCAAACAGATGTATTTTCAATTCAGGACACCTAAAAAGGTGTCCTGCTTTGAACAATTTACACATATTTTACCACAACAGGCAAGTTGTTGTAGAGTGAAAATATGTAAGGATTTTCAAGTTTAAACCCCCTGATATAATGAATTGATCAACTCAAAAAAACAAAAGAGCTCAAGAGTTCTTTTTGACACAAAAATGCCTCTATCTGTTGGAAATATGTAATTGTGATGGGTGTCATTAATCAAGTGGGATATGGCAAGAAGGGTGTCACAGGCGCGCTCTTGATTATGCAATGCTAGAAGGATATGCTAATATTGCCTCCCTCTTAGATTAGGGGGTTTCAAGTTGAAGGTTTTTACTATTTAGGTGTCCCAAATTAACAATATGTTGGTTTTACAAAGATTTTTTTTACAAACAACTTGTCCAAATTTATAAAAATTACACAAAAAAACCAAACTTGAAACTGGACAACCACAGGTTGTGTACGAGTTAGGTTTGGGGGCTTGAAAGGTATTGGTTGTCCACCCAGCATGATCCTACGAACTTAACCTGTCCCTCTCCCTTGCAAACATTCAAACTGTTGTTTTAAGTGGTACAAGATAAATTATAAGTCACCTGTGTGAGTACCATTGGACTAAGGGAGAAGGGAGTTTCTAATAAGGAAAATGGGCTTCATAATACAAGAGTGTTTTGGGCTATCTGCCCAAAAGATCTCACATGTGAATTTTGAGGTTAGCCGTAAGTCCCTGTCTAACTTTGTGGTCCTACCACTGCTAAGCAGACAAACCTCTCACTTGTGTTGCCTTTTGTTTCATCCTTCAGGCATTGAATCATTGGCAGTTTTTTCCTTGCAAGTAAAACCCTCCACCTTGTTACATCTCTCCAGGTGTAGATTTGTCAAAAACCGACCCACCCACATACCTACGTAATTTCACAAAACCCTAAAAGAAGGCATGTAGCCAGTTGTTCTGTTCCATCTTCAATTTCTAGTTCTCTATGCTTCATCTATCTCCAAGTCTCTTAAAAAAATCCCTTTACACAGAATGATAATGAAAAAACAATCTCTTATTCAAATTCTCTTCAATATTTTTTATGATAAGCCCATAATTTTCTCCAGCATGTTATGAGTATCCTCCCTCTCCCTCTCAATTTGTCTGTTTGGTTCCATGTGGTTTTCAAGTGATGTCCACAAAAGACATTGTTTCTATTCCTGCTTTTTGCTTTGTTTTTCCCTTTCATTTGTTGTTGGTCCTCCCCAAGGGGTGACTCCCAATGCAAATGTCTCATGGGCCCAGCCTTTGGCTGGAGCGGTTTCACATAGGTGCACAAAGAGATAAACTTATCAAAGTCCCCCCCACCCAAGTAGTCAAGGGAGGGACTTACGGCTAATGTCATGGTTTTCAACTCACAACAGCAATATTTTCACTTTTTGTTGTGGCCCATTTTGAGGATCCCACACCGCATAAGATCTTACCTCCTGCAGCGCACAGCTTCCTTGAAATCTCATCTTCTGGTTCCGGTTTCAGATCTTCATTGTGCATAGACTTGCTGCTATTGAGGTTATTGGACACCGGGTTTTTGGAGACATCAGCACGCTTTAGGGGTCCTGTATGAAATTTGGTGGTCCCGCTACAACTTTTCAAAACTCTTATGAGTGAGCTCAATCAATACAATGGATGCTAAAAACACATGAGGACATGTACAAGGTGCAAATGAAGACCCTTGCGGCTGGAAGCAAGATTTGATGAGGTCTGTGACCCTCATAATGGGCAAAAACAAAAAATGAACAAAAATTCTGCTGTTGTGCGTTGAAAAGTAGGACATTAGCCGTTGACTACTTGGGCGGGGGGGACTTTGATAAGTTTAACAAAGAGAGTAGCGCAACGCTAAAACAGGGTCAGCGCCACTGGCCCGTGAGACGCATCGCATATGCTTTCAACTTCCATAAGTTGAGGTGTCCACTCTCTCTATCATCTAGCTATCTAGGGGAGTGTGTTTGTGGTCACAAGGATTATCATTCAAGGATCTGGCTCACACTTTTATTTTAGGTAGTCAAGTTGCAATCATGTTTCCTGTCACGATTGGTGGTCAGGTGAATTGATCGGATGTTTAGAGAATGGTGAATATGCCCTGGATGGAGTGAGTGGTCAAATATGATTGATGGACTCCATTGAGTATTCAGCTGTAGGACCAAGGCAATTTGGGCCCCAGTACACTGAGATGTGTTCATTGCACTACGGAAGTCTTGACTCTTTCCTTGCCTGATAGCAAGAATCAACAGCAAACCTTTGGGACTTTATGGAGGTTCAAGTTGAAAGCTGTGAGCAAGGGTTGCAAGGCTATAATCCGCAATTCTAAAATTATGCCTGATGCCGGGAACCACGAAGGCTTGCTTGTGATCGAGAAAAGTCTGTGGCCGCAGCATTTTTTTGTCAAACTGAACAGCTTGCAATATCGATCGCAGTTTTGAATGCTGCTCAAATTGTGGTGCAATCCTGCAGGATTGCAAATTGAGGTTGGCGATATAAGCGATCCGAGTCAGAAACTGCACCCTACAGGCTGCATGTAGGGCTTCTCAGGCCAAAACTTTTTCGATAACATCAGACATTCTTCTGACTGTGACTGTACAACTCACCTCATTCGTACCAACATGAGTGCGATCTACTGTCGACGGCTACCACCTCTCGCAATCCATCGTAATGGAAGTCTCTTGCTAAATCGGCGTAAGTGAGATTGGCCTGGCGATGAAGTCTGTTGACCTGATACTCACAAGCAATGAACTTCTCATCTTAGATCAGTCACTTTCAACCTTTCAACCACGAAACTGGGTTCACACCCAATCCCCCATTTCGTCTCGATCTCTCCTTTTCGCCTCCTCTCATTCCCCCCTTCTTCAACATCGATTTCAAAAAATCGACTCATTCGTCTTTCCATCTCGTTTCAATTCTTCACCGGCGAATCAAGAGAAAGATGAAAGTTCATCTCAGAAAGCTGTCTCTCGTCCTTCTGCCTCCGATCAAACTCGAATGCAAAAGATATGGGTGAAAGTTAAAACAGAAGCTTCACATTATTGGCATGGTACGAAGCTTTTAGGAAAGGAAATCCGACTGAGTGCAAAATATCAAATGAAATTATTAAGAGGCAAAAAATTGACACGTAGAGAGAAACGACAAGTGTGTATTTTTTCATCAGGCTTCCAAACCTGAGTCAGCAGCTCAGCAGATCACTGATTATATCGTCTATGCCCCTTCGAACAGCTTAAACGGACTACAACCGACTTATTACGGCTGATCCCGTTCTCTGTCTTCCTCATCGTTCCTTTCATGGAACTTTTACTACCAGTTGCACTCAAACTGTTCCCCAACATGCTACCGTCAACATTCCGAGATGAATCTAAAGAACTAGAGAAGAAGCGCAAGTTGTTAAAAGTCAGACTCGAGATGGCCAAGTTCTTACAAGAAACTTTACGAGAGAGTGGAATGAGTAAAAGAGTCAAAGAAACTGAAGAATTTAAAGAATTCTTTAGAAAAGTTCGTAGTACAGGAGAAAAACCCAGTATGGATGATGTGGTTAAAGTGGCTCGATTGTTTGAGGACGATCTCACCCTTGATAATCTTTCGCGTCCTCAACTCGTTAGTATGTGCAGGTGAGTCGATTGTTTCAAATCTCATGTCATTCCACTCGCTCGGTTCATCTTCACGGTCATCTAAGCTAAACCCGAATCTTTCGAATCACTCTTTGCTTTGGAATTAGGTATATGAACATCAATGCTTTCGGAACTGATAATTTCCTACGTTATACGATCCGTAACCGAATGCGACATTTAGCAGCAGATGACGCCTTGATCGATGCCGAAGGAATCGAATCGCTCTCGGGAACTGAGCTGCGACATGCATGTCAATCCCGTGGCATAAGATCAATGGGCGTAGATGAAGCTGAACTTCGAAAGGAATTAGAACAGTGGATCGATTTACATCTTCACCGTGGACTTAGTGCAACTCTTTTGATCCTTGGTCGAGCCTTTGCTTTCAACCGAGGCGGTGATAGTGAAAAGGGTGATAGTACTCTTGAGAGCCTCAAGGATGCCTTGAGTAGTCTTCCAGACACTTTGGTGGGTGCTCTAGCTATCTTCGTCATTTGAGTCAAATGTGTCACCGCGCGAAACTAACCGGAGGCTAATCATTTGACTTTATCTAGCTTAACGAAGCTGAACTGGAAGTTTCGCATGACACGGTGACCAACAAGCAACGTCTCGCGGTCTTGGAAGAACAGGAAGAACTTATTGCAGATGAAAGCGAACAAGAGTTAAGAGAAGAAGAGGCACGAAAGGCTCAACGTGAACTTGAAAGAAGTCAAAAGGCAGAGGCTGAAGAATTGGAGAAGATGGAAAAAGTGGTCGAGGTTGCTTTAGATAAGATACCTGAAAGTAAATCAGAAGCCGAAGCAGTCGATCCTGACAACGTCAGAATGACATCTGAACAGCTTCATGAGCTTGGAGAAGCTCTATCAATCTTGAGTGCGAAATCGAGTGTCTTACATGAGAAAACTGAACTGAAGAAATTGGTTGAAGAGAATCAAGAGGCAGCACAGGATGTAAGTTTGATCTTTGAAATTGAGCAGACTGTTGTCGTCTTCATACGTTTGATTTTGCAACTATCCATTATAGCCCGAGAACACCGCATCCGCAGGACTGGTCAAGAGTATCCAGAAAATGATTCACGAAATTGACACTCAACTAGAAGAGTACGACACTCAAGTTGGAAACAGGATGCATCAGATCAATATCGGGAAAGACGGAAACATCAGTGTCGATGATCTACGGAAAGGACTTGGTGTAATCAAACATCGGTAAGTGGTACCCAGCCTCTCGCATCAGCAGAAAAAGTAACTGATGTGTTTAAAACAGACCATCGGATGAAGCGATCGAAGTCCTCATCGATAAACTCGATGTCGATCACGATGGATTCGTACCTCTCGAGCATGTTGTATCTCTAGCCGCTGAGGAAGGCTTAGGGATTGTAGTAGACGAAGATTCAAGTTCGAATGCGATTGTTTCAGAAGGTCAGAAACTACGACATGATGGACACAAAAACTTGAAGCTACAGTCAAAGTCTCGTGATGCAAGATCTAAGTCTGAGTCCGGGGTTACTAACAAGGAAGAGCCAAAGCCTAAAAAATCAGATATTGTTGAAGATCCTTAGAGAATCGGTTTTGGTTTCCTCAATCTGATCACATCTATGGTCTATAACATCAAAAGCAAGTTATACTGATCTACTACCCCAATCATACTACTATCCCCATTCCTTATCAGCGGGCAGGAAAACAAGATACACCTTATCTTGAATGTATTCAAGTGATATATTAAATAGAAGTTTTTGAAAAACATGAAATTAGTGTGTAGCAAATTCGCCAACAACACCTGGTGTAGTTGCCTTTGAGCATTAGGCTTCCTAATCATGATTTTACTTGCTTTGGAAGTGATTGAAGGAAATCACACTGTTCTACTAGTTCATTGACAGCCAGTTTTCTATTGAATCTATTTCTTCAGGAAAAGACTTTGAATTGTGATTTCATGGGAAACACTGAGATCTACTTGCAGTAATTATCAATAAAATTACACAAACATTCATAAGCCCTTCATATTAAACCACGCATAAACCTCTACATCTTAAGTGCAAAGCGCAACTTCAAGGCCACCTCAAGCTGTTCCAATTGATCAGGTGAACAAGAACCAAGCATGATCTGTTCCATTTCCCCTCAGTTGTAAATACATGGGGAAGACCTGCTTGAGACCAAGAGGACCATGCGCGCCAAACGGAGGTATGTCAGCTTTGGAATACAAGATGGATAATACAACAAAATCTGACAGACAAACCGGTGCATTCAAAGTGTCGAAAGCTATAAAATCCTCACAACAACTTCCAGTATCATTCGCGATTATCCCAAAATTTGTGACGTCTAGACTCCAACGGTGGGACGTAAAATCCCGCATCTATCTCGCCGACTTACCACAAACCACCAAGTGCCTGAACAGGATATGACACTACGGTTGTGAAACTCCAGGAAACTCCTCAAAGCTGGTCCTCCTTGGATAGTTCACGTAGAAATCATTATTCCTGATCACTTCTGGGAATCCTCGAGAATTCTGTACTCGTTTCGTAATCGTTCGATCACCAAGCGATGCGAAAATCATGTAGTGTGGGCGGGTGCGCGACGACTGTGGCGGTGAGCGGTCTTATATCTTATACACTGGAACTGGATGGATGGACATCTGGATGTGGGTAGCACCGGTCGCCACGTTTCATGGTGCACATTGCTGACGATACCAACGCGGTGTCAATACAACACCTGCCGAGTTTCATCAGTTTCATCCAGACTGGATTCCTACATACGTCCCGAATAGTCTGGAATCACATTTGTCTTCCCCGGGTTGAGGATTGGGACGCGTCAAGAAGCTTCGAATACAACATGACATACTCCACAATATCACAAGACTTGTTTGACTTACGATGGGATAAGTTTTTGTCCAAGTTACCTCTTTAGTTCCTTTTCTCTGATCTTTCAAAATATTCAATCTTACACATCCAGTGACCCGCACCGACTTTACGCTCTTTCATAGACTCAATCCTTTGCAATAATATCAATGAATCATCGAAGACATTTACATCTGAGAAACTTTCTCATCTTCTGGAACATATATTTTACCAGCTCATTAGTTATACCAACAGACAATGGCAAACACAGTACCAGCACTCAATTCGGCAGACGAGGAATTTCTGCCACACACTTGGCAATCGAATCATCATCTGATTCCAAAGAAGCGGTCTCTTTGTTACCGACTATGCTCAAGTCTCAGTCATTGCCAACTACTTCATCACTGAGGAACAGTGCTCTATCATCCAGTTCACTCGGGAGAAACAAGATCACACTCTTGGAAGGAGATTCGGTCCCACTATTAAATCCTTGGGGCTTACGAAGCGAAGAACAGCTGGAAAAGTCCGCGTCAACCACCTCAATTGGTGGAAAAGGAAAGGAATTAGATAAATTGAACTCTTCGTGGTGGAAAAATCAATTACCCAGAATTCTCAAATCTTGGTGGAAGACAGTGATAAATCATCTCAGCTCGTTTCAAAAATCGGTTAGTAATTTGCATTTGTTCTAAGGAATATTCATGTTCAGCCGCTAACGTGAACCTCGCATCCCCTGGTCTGATAGATCAAAAGAGGCTTTGGTAAAATTATACCAAGCAGACCATATACTGTTTTATCGAAGTCTCCCAGCTCACATGTGATCTCACCCAGTGATAGATCAACAATCGATGAAGGAACGAAAGTTCTCGATGGCACAATAGCGAATGACGTGACAAAAATTCCTCATGGATCTATCGATGATCCAGCTACAAGAACCCCTCATGACTCCACAGTTGATGAAGGTAAAAAGACTCCTCATGAATCCACAGTTGAACAAGCGACAAAGATTCCTTTCGACGCCATAGCTGATCAAACAACAACAACTCCTCATGAACCCACAGTTGAACAAGTGACAAGAAATCATGATGAATCAATACCAAATCAGGCGACAACTCCTCCTCATGAATCCGCAGTTCAAGGAGCGACAAAAACTCCTCTTGACACCATCGCTGATCAAGGGACAGCAGCTCCCCATGAACCCATAGTTGAACAAGTGACAAAAAATCATGATGAATCGATAGCAAATCAGGCGATAACAACTCCTCATGAATCCGCGGTTGAAAAAGCGACAAAAACTCCTCTCGACACCATAGCTGATCAAGGGAAAACCACTCCTCCCGAACTCACAATCGAGCAAGCGACAAGAAGCCATGATGGATCGATAGCTAATCAGGCGACACAAATTCCTCATGAATCCGCAGTTGAAGAAGGAACAAAAGCTCCTCTCGACACCATAGCTGATCAAGGGACAACCACTGCTCACGAACCCACAATTGACCAAGCGACAAGAAGCCACGATGAATCAATAGCTAAACAGGAGACAAAAATTCCGCATGATCATTCACATGAGGATGACGAAATATTCCACGATGCTTTGAGTGAATTCCAAGATAATATACCGGATGAACATGAGACCTTTCTTAGTACGGAACCGCAACCTCATCTCAAAGGTTAGGGCTCAAAAAATTTTATCGAGAGTGATCATTTCGACTGATTCAACTGAATTTGATTTGCTTATTGATAAGAAAACCATGTACCCGCCGGAGCAGAAGCTGCCCTAAAAGGTGCGCTCTTACAGATCAATTTTTATTTTCATTTTCAAGTGCAGGAACCTGAACCATTCTCGATTGAATATTATTTCTTCGTTTTTTAGAAAAACTTTCCCCTGAAAAAGCACAAGGTCTTCCGAAAGGTGAGCGCTCTATAGGGAATTTCTAATTGTGTACACTTTGAACATTCATACTGAATTGTATTCATTTCTTCATGACTGATCAGCAACTCTCCCTGCTGAAGAACAAGCTGCCCCAAAAGGTGGGTGATTTGAATACATTTCACAAGTACAAGAATATGTGACCCTCTAACAGAATTTGATGTATCTACTTATTGGAAAACCTCGTCACAGAAAAACAATCTTTACTTGAAGGTGAGGGCTCAAGAACCCTTTTTTCAAGCGCGATGATTTCGAGTGACCTAACTAAATTTGATTTGCTTGCGGATCAGAAGACCATGCACCCGCCCAAGCACAATCTTCGCTAAAAGGTGGGCACTTTAAAACTACAATTTCAGTTGCAGAAAATTAAATCTTTTTCGATCGAATTTGATTTCTTCGCTGTCTAGAAAAAAAATCCCCTGAGAAAGCACAAGTTCTTCCGAAAGGTGAGGGCTTCAGAAGCATTTGGCGACTGCGTTCACTTTGAATGATCATACTGAATTCTATCCATCTCTTGATGATTCATCAGAAACCCTACCTGCCGAAGCACAAGCTGCCTCAAAAGGTCAGTGATTTCAATATACCTTTGAACCACAACAATCGGAAACCCTCTGACGGAATTTGATATATCTACTGATTAGGAAACCTTTTCACAGAAGAGCAAGCTCTACTTGACGGTAAGGGCTCGAGAACCCTTTATGATGAAGCGCGATCCTTTCGACTGACTCAACTAAGTTTGATGTGCTTATCAATTAGAAAACCATGTCCCTACCAAAGCACAAGCTGCGCTGAAAGGTGAGCACTTTGAAAGTCCATTTCTAAATGCAGGAATTTGAACCACTTTCCATTCAATTCGATTTCTTCGTTGTTCAGAAAAATTTTCCCCTGAAGACGCACAAGTTGTTCCCGAAGGTAAGGTCTCCATAATCGATTTTGAATTGCATACACTTTGAATTATCATACTGAATTGTCTTCATTTCTCGATGATTGATCAGAAACCCTCCCTGCCGAAAAACAAGCTGCCTCAAAAGGTGGGTGATCTGAAGATTTTTTTTCAAGCATACTAAACTGGAACTCTGACGGAATTTGATCTATGCATTGCGTAGAGAACCTCTCCACAAAAGAACACACTTCACTTGAAGGTGAGGGCTCAAGAGCCTTTTTTCAAGCGCGATCATTTCGACTGATTTAACTAATTTTGATTTGCTTATTTTTCAGAAAACCACATACCTACCGAAGCACAAGCTGTGCTAAAAGGTGGACACTTCAAATCTCCAATTTCAATTGCAGGAAATTGAATCCTTCTCGATCAAATTTCATTTCTTCGTTATTTAGAAAAACTTTCCCCTGAAAAAGCGCAAGTCCTTCCGAAAGGTGAGGGCCTTAGAATGAATTTTTGTTGCGTACCCTTTCAATGATCATACTGAATCGAATCCATTTATTGATGATTCATCAGACACCCGCCCTGTCCAAGAACAAGCTGCTTCAAAAGGTGAGTGATCTGAGGACCTTTTCAAGCACAAGAATCTGAAGCCATCTGACGGATTTTGATCCTTCTATCGATCAGAAGTCCTTTCCACGAAAGAACAAGCTTCACTTGAAGGTGAGGGCTCGAGAACTTTTTTAAGCGCAATCAATTCGACTGACCTAACTGGATTTGATTGGCTCATTCATCAGCAACCCAGAATCCTGCCCAAGCACAAGCTGCGCTAAAAGGTGGCTACTCTGAAACTTCATTTCCAAATGCACGAATCTGAATCCCTTCCAGCCGAGCTGATTTATATTTCTTGATTAGAAAACTTCTCGCCCAAAGAAGCACAAGCATCTCCAAAAGGTGAGAGACCTGCAAACAGCTTCCATGAGCGAAGAATCATTTAACTAAATGTCATTTTTTATTGATCAGAGAACCATCCTCCCACTGTACCACAAGTTCCGCTAGAAGGTGAGTCATTGGAAGGTTTTCCTGGTTCTTCTGGTGGGAATGGTTTTACTGATTATGATATCTTGCTTGATCAGGAACCCATTCCCCAAATCCCGACGCATCACCAGCTAGCCTTGCACCAGTTTTGGCTGCCCCCGTCTCCAAATCAATCTCGGATACCCCCGAAGCATCATTGCATGCCATCTCCGCCAAGCCATTGCCATCTACAGCCGAGCCATTTTCGAATGTCCGCGCATCCAACCCATCATCAGCTGCCACCAAAACATCAACTCGCACCCCGCCCATATCGACTGCTGTTGATAACGTGTTTAGGCCTACGTTTCGTGGTATGTTTCCTATCTCTCCAACGCTCTGTGTTATGTTAGCACTCATATCTTCACGTTTTCTTCTCTTTGCCCACAAAGACACAGAATTGACAGCTAAAAGTTTGGCAAAACCAAAAGGTATGTGATAGGTGTATCCAAATTGAAGTTGATCTTACCATCATTTGAGAAAATCTAACGATGACTCAACGTCAATGCCCATACAGCTTATCTTGTAAAACAGAGTCAATTAGCAATCGCTGAGATTTCTTGGGAACTGATGCGAAGAGGAGAGCAATGGGACACTGTGTTTGAAAAACTATATCCTGGTTGGACATTGGGATTGGCGGGAAGGGGGTCGAAGCACTTGCAAAAGTACACGGACCTCTGGGAGCTTCAATATGAAATTGCGAAAAGAACATCTGGGGTGGACCATCTTAAAAATTCTAAAACTCTCAGGGAAGCTCTTGATAAACCTTCGGACGCGGCAACCCGTAAAGGATACGATATATTCATAGCTACCTTGCAGGGTAAGATGGATGAAACTTTCGTCAAAACCATCACAACAGCGGACAAGATGACAAAGCTTCAGAAAAACATCGCCAAACAGCTTCAGGACTGGGACAAAAGTAAAATATAGAAAAAACTTGAAGAAACCCCGCTCAACTTCAAGTCTAAATCACTCCAATCTCATGCGAAATCTAGTGTATCACACAAACTAAGAAAAACCCTCACGAAAACTACGCCTGAAGACCGAAAAATTGTACCTTTATCCAATAAAACATGCTATCTTTGAAGGACTGTCATTCGGTAGTTTTGCAATCTCAGCATCACATCTTCCATTGTTCTACTGAATACTAATCGAGAGAACAGAAAATATATGTCCCTTTGCTCGGTTTCTATATACTCATTGATAGCATCTGCTGTGTTATGATAGCACACTCATTAGTCTCTTATCCCATAATCATTCCCTTTCTACTCATTGGTAAAGTTTTGTCGATGACCTAGCAGTTGTTTGATTGATCATGTATAGAATTCTCTTATGGAACCCAAAACTGTCGTTACTATATTTCATATTTATTCCAGTAGAATTCAGATTGTATTTGGCCAGATCGGCTTTATCATATGTTGTAGCTGATTGACCTGATGAGATCTTCCACATATTTTAAAGCATATGGTGTACATAGCTAGGAGCTATCAGATATTCAAAAAACTCACAATTTTTAAATGATTACAGACAGACAATCAAAAGATGCCTGACTAGAAATATCAGCCTGGGACTTATTGGCTCATAGGCCTGGAAGATACCCAAAACAAACCATAAAAGTTATTCCATATCGCTCCCTGTATTTGACTGCAAGGCATACATCAAAAATAAACAGTTTTATAAGCCTTGAATTGTAAAAGACATATCAAGGCTTCCTCACAGTCTGTCCCAACGCTGTGCAATTGATGGCATATCTGGATATATTGCTGACCGCCCTTGGCATCAAGTTCCAGACATTGTTGAGGGCCAGCCATTTCTTTGTCAATGATTGGTTTTAGGTTTTAGGACGGCAATGGCCCTCGTGAGAATCGTCTGTTGAATCTCTCTGCTCTACATTTAAAGTCAAATCTTGATCTCATTCGCTTTTCACAAATTCATTTTGTACACTTCACTCCTCAAAATCTTCATCACCTGTAATATATCCTCCTTGTCTGCGTGACTGTACTCATGATTTAGTTCACGCAGAAATCATCATGCCTGAGATCTCCAGTCAAGAACACAGTCCTCATCTCGTTTGATCACCTGACGATGGGACGATTATTCATTGCGGGCGGATACGCAAGCCGATGGCTGTCATAGTGGTAGTGAGCATTCATATGGTATAATACACGCAAGCGCGAAATCTGAACGGGAATCTCGATGGATGTGGGTATCACCGGTCCAAACGTTTCATGGTGCATTGTTAAAGATGTCAACGCAGTGTATATACAACACCTACTGAGCTTCATCGAGGTGATTGAATTCCTATATACATGTGCTCAACTTACGCTGGAATCACTTTTGTCTTCCCTGCGTTGAGGATTGGGACTGCGTGAAAAGCCTTGGGATACATGCATGATCTCCTCCGCAAAACTGCCATACGGATTCTCGGACTCAGGATGGGATAAGTTTTTGTCAAAGTTCACTCTTTAGTTGCTTTTATCTATTTGCCTTTACGAAATATACATACCAAGCTCGCGGGTGGTCATCCAGTTCCCATCATCAGCAATGCATCATCGAAGACATCTGCATCTGAGAACTTTTCTCATTTTCTGGAACCTATATTTCGCCAGCTCATTATGTATACCTACAGAAGATGCGAAGTACAATACCAGCGCCCAATTTGGGAGACGAGCTCTTGCTGTCACACACTTGGCACTAGAATCATCAATACCTGAATCCAAGGAAATGGCTTCTGTTGGATCTTTACGGACTACGCTCAAGTCTCACTCATCTCCAAGTACTTCACCATTGCAAGTTAAAGGTTCATTATCTGATGAACTTGGGAGAAAGAAAATCACACCTTCAGAGGGAGACTTCGTGTCAGGATTGAATCGTGAGGTTCCACTAGGCGATGAGCAGCTAGAAAGGTTTGGCGCGTCAACTACCACCCCAATTGGTGGAAAAGGAAAAGAATTAGATAAAGTGAAGACTTCATGGTGGTCAATTCACTTATGTACGAGTTTGAAATCTTGGTGGAAGAGAATAATGAAAGGCTTCTCTTCGCTCCAAAAATCTGTTAGTAATTCTCTTTGATCCATGAAATAACCATGCGACGACCGCTGAGGTGAAACTCATATGCCATGTCTAATAGACCATAAGAAGCTTTCGTAATATTGTTCAAAGCAGATCGCATACTGGTGTGTCAAAGTCTTCGAGCTCAAATGGTATTTCACCCAGTGATAAATCAATAGCTGATCAAGGGAATGAATCGACAGCCGATCAAGCGACGAAAACGACTCATAGATCAATACCTGATATGATGACAAGCAATCTTGATGAATCGATGGCTAATCAGGCGACAAAGATTCCGCACCACAATTCAAATGAGGATGACGAAATCTATCACGATGCTTTGATTGATTTTCAAGACAATCCACTAGTTAAACATCTGACCTCTCTCACTAAGGAAGCGCAACCCTCGCTCAAAGGTGAGGGCTCTACAGACCGTACCGAAGCGCAATAATTTTATGCGGCCAACTAACTTGGATGTGCATTGATCAGAAAACCATGTTCCTACGAAGGCACAAGCTGCGCTGAAAGGTGGGTCCTTTGGATTGTGGATAACTTTTCAAAGACCTATCATCAGAAAGCCCTCAATCTAATCTGATTTATTCGTTGATCAGAAAACCTTTCGCTCAAAGGAGTACAAGCTTCATCAAAAGGTGAGAAATCTAGAAACATCCTTGAAGTGCAACAAATGATTTTATTGAATTGATCATCTTTATTCATCAGATTACCATCCTCCTGTTGAATTACAATCTCAGGTAGAAAGTGAGCTCATTAAACATTTCTCAAGTTTTATCCTTTAGAGCGGTGTTACTGAATTTGATCTCCTATATCCACTACTCTTGAGCAAGTTCCTCGGCCAACATTTCGTGGTATGTTTGCTATCCCTCCAAGGCGCTATCATGTTTTAATACTCAACAAGTTTCCTCTTTATTTTTTCTATTCGCACAAAAAAAGAATCAATAATAACATCTCAAACTTCGGCAGAACCGATAGGTATGTGAATGTTAGGTCTACATTCAAGTTCAACTTCCCAACATCAAAGAAAATCTGAGAATGATTTAAATCCAATACATCTATGCAGGTGTTTCTTTAGATCAAAGTCAATTAGCCATCACTGAGCTTGCTTGGAAATTAATTCAAAGGGGAGAAAATTGGAACACAATCTTTAATAAAGTTTTCAAGTTGAATTTTTTATTGGCAGGAAAAGTCAAAAAACATTTACAAAAATTTACTAATCATTGGGAAATCCTTTATGATATTGAAAAAAGAAAATCTGGAATAGATCATCTTCATAATTATAAAACTCTTAGGGAAGCACTTGATAACCCATTGGAGACAGCCACCAGAGAGGGCTATGATCGTTTCTTGGCTACTTTGAAGAACAAGCTTGATGTACCTATAGTCAAAAATTACGTTCACGAGGAAAAGATGAAAGACCTACAAGTTAATGTTGCTCAACAGCTTAAGATGTGGGATCAAAACTTAAGATAGAAATGACCAATTCAAAAGATTTTGATCAAACTCTACTCAACTTTTTCTTTATATCACTCCAATCTCTTCAAACATCTTGTGTATCAACTTATCACAAGGGAAGACCTCACAGAAAATTGGTGCCTTGCTTAACATAAATTTTTGCATCATCATCATCATCATCATCATCATCATCATTAGATTGCCAATTGTTCTACATACTAGACAAGAATCAAGAGAACACCACATATGCCTTTACTTGTTTCCTATGTCCTCAATTACATCCCTGCATTGCCTGTGTCTAGATATGAAACTCATCTGTCCATCTCATAATCATTTACTTACTACTCATTGGAGATACTTTCTCAATGACGTAGTATTTGATTGATTAATCATGTATAAAATTCCTTTCATCTCATCATCTGTAATTTATTCTTTATTAAACTCATTCCTCATGTTACAAACATTTCACTCTTGATCTAATGATACCAGATGGTCTTTACTCATATCATCTTTATCACATTCATACAGCCAATTGAGTTGATTGACACTGATCAGGCCCTGAAGTTCATTAACCTGTTTCAATTGAGGTCCTCAAACCTGTGCAAAAACCATGCAAAATCAATGTGCAAGATCCGTGCAAGATTTCATGCACCAATCTTGTGCATTGAATTTTTTGACAACCCCAACTACATATTGTGTTTACAAAAACCATATGAGACCAACATGCAAGATCAGTGCAAGAACTATTGATGTCTTGTACAAAACTTGCACAAATTTTTGCATAGGTTTGAGGACCATGGATAAAATGTTCTGTATTTAGGAAGAATCAAATCATTCAACAGATTAAGGGCACCTTCACTTAAACAATTTCTGGACAGTAAATGCATTCTGTAAATTTTAAAATGCAAAAATGAACCATACTGCAAGACATTTGCAGAATGCAATTTCTGACCAGAAATCAATCAAAACATGTCTCACCAAAAATCCCACTCTGAGACCTAAACCTCATCTCCATTATGGCTGGACTGAGCAAGTACAGTGTCTGTGTGTGGTATAGCCTTTTATAAAGTGTTATAGATTTAAAGCTACCTCTACTGGAACCCTTACATCATAGGTAGCTTATGTTTTACAATCATCTTCTCTAGTTAAATAGGGTTTTCCCTAAAACATTCATCAAGCCACCATTGGCAAGCTTCAAGGCAGGCTACCTCCAGGTAGTGTAAATTGATGTTGTACATATATGGGTTGACTTTAAGGGCATGTTCACTTCCAGAAATCACATTCTGTGAATTTTTTAATCCAAAAAAGAAACATGCTTCACCAAATATGTACACACTTTAAATTTTGCAGAATATGATTTCTCCCCAGAAATTGCTTAAGGGCACGTTCACTTAAGGAATTTCTGACCAGAAATCACATTCTGTAAAATTTTTAATGCAAAAATGAAACATACACCCCCAAATAGACACTTTAAATTTTGCAGAATGTGATTTCTCACCAGAAATTGCTTAAGTGAACGCGCCCTAAGTGAACGTGCCCTTAAGCCATTGAAATCAAATTCTTAACCTGATTTGAAAGTTTCAATTTCTTTCAAGTTTAACCATCCTCTTGATGACCAACTATGGTTAATCACCTTCTCAAGATCACCTCACATATCCCAAAATTCTAGTTCCTCTTCAAGCCTTCAAGCCTTCATAAATCTTCATAATTCTCTCCTAGTCTACAAATCATATTCAACTTCAACTTCATTTCCCATTTTTTCTTTACCCAAAACTGATTGATTTCTTTTTTTTTGATTTCTTTAATTAAATCTCCATACCATCTCATTTTTTTGAAAAGATCAAATCTTATACCCAACTAAATATATATATATATATTAACACTAATTCCAATCATATACAAACCATATATATATAACTTGAGCTTGAGGTATATATGTACACATCAATACTTATCTTAAACTCTTTAAACCCCCAAAACAAATCTTCATTTCGAACCATCAACCCGAGCCTTCTTATCCAAAACCTGATAATAATGTCCAGCAACTAATTCATTCATTCATTCATCCATTCATAAAAAAAGAAAACAAATTTCAATTTAATTTCAACTAGATCTTTTCAACCAAATCATCCATTTCACTTACGTTCAGTTAACCAATCCGGTTCAATCACAGTTAAATCTCTTATAAATCTTTTTTTAGTTTCCATGACTTCATGAAAGATAACCCAACCAGTTTCAGGTTTCCGATTAAACATCACAGAAGAAGGATGAACATGTAAGATCTGAATCCAAACACCCGCCCAAAACATCCCCAAAAAAACCAAACCTCCAATCAGTTCAATCCAATCCAATCCAATCCAAAACAAGTGAAACATAATCAAAACAAAAACTTACAGTCCCATCTCGAACACTAGAGTAACTGCCATCCAAATTAAACCTAGCCAAGTTCCTAAAATACCCACTCACCAAAGCTTTCCTAACCATGAGCTGATCTTCACTGCTCACCAACTTAATTCCAAACTTTTTTAAATATTGCCCAAGTTGGTTTCGAATACTGATCACTCTACTCAACGCTTTAAAATTCAATCTATACCTTTGACACCATTTAGCCGTCGATTTACCTACTTTCAAAAACGCATTATAAACGTTTAGGTAGGTTAGATGGTCTCCTTCCATCACTGTAAACTTCCTTTTACTTAATTCTCCTTCAACATCATATTCTCCTCCGATCATGAATACATTCTGGATCACCCCGCCCCCGCCAGAAATGTGGAGATCAACATTAGTGTTTAAGAATTGAGAATCAGGTTATGATTTGGAACAGGAAAATAGATCAATCGATTGAACCTAATTACCTGAACTGAAGTCATAGCAGCAATTGTTAAAATTTCTTCAGAACAACCGAATTTTTCGGAATTCAATAACTTTTTTTTTGTAAAAAACAGAGAAATATCAATCACATATCTCGAAAGATGAATCCGACCGCTCAAACGTTTCATCAAGAAAAAAGCCCACTTACAATCTTAGCCATCATAGGATCAATCGGCATCTCAGCCATCTTCAAACCGATTTCCTCAGTCAAGTTTCCCTCAAGATCCAAAGCTCCAATAGCGACCAAGAACTCTAAACCACGTTCGATGAAGAAACTACTAGGAGAATCGACAAAATCAAATCCTCTAACGACATTCTTGATCCCTAAAGCTTTAAGTTCTAAGATCATTTTACTCAATTCGATTCTACAAATCTCAGGTGAAGATTGAGATTGTAAACTTTGAAAGGTTTCTTCGGTATATAATCTAAAACATTTGCCTGCTTTGGTTCGTCCTGCTCTTCCTGATCTTTGAATGGCTGAAGCTTTTGAAATCGGTACAATGGTTAAAACATCCATTTCTTTTAAAGGATCATACATCCTTACCTAAAAAAAATCAAATCAAATCAAAAAGTTGAAAAAGTTTTCAACAATTAATCAAGATTTGTAAGAAAAAAAACCATGAATTGATGAGATTAGACAAACCGCTGAACTTTAACCAAACCTGAATCGATCACATAAACAATCCCATCAATGGTCACACTAGCTTCTGCCACATTCGTAGCCACAATGACTTTACGAATCTCTGATCTTTGTGGTTCGAATGCATATGCTTGTTCTTCTGAACTCAAACCAGCATGAAACGGAATCGATCTCAATTTCAAACCTAAGCTTGGAATTCGATCTGATTCTTCTAATAACCTTGAACAAACTTCATCTATCTCTTCTCTACCCGTTAAGAAAATCAAAATATCACCCTTTGGTTGCTTTGATCAAGATCAGAGAGTCAAGTTTATTATAAGTCAAATTCAAGTCTTAAACCCACTGATTGTGTTTCAAAAGTGACTTACTGTTAAATGAATTTCCATAGTCGTCGAAACCACAGCCGAAAGATAATCTTCTACAGGTTGATCTTTATAAACGATCTCGACTGGAAACATTCTACCTTCTATACTAATGATATTGGATTTATCTTCTTGAAGATTAAGTGTAGGATTATAATTAAAATAATCTCGAAAATGTTCTGCATCTATAGTTGCAGAACAAATGATGATCCTTAATTCAGGTCTGACGAGTTGAATTCTATTTTGTTTTTTTCAAAAAACCCATCAGTTTTCAAATGTGATTTTTTTTTCTTTTTTGAGAAGGAAATTCTGAGAACTGACTTTTTCAAGACTCCTAATAATAAATCAGTATAAGTTGATCTTTCATGTGCTTCATCTATAATGATCACACTATAAGAGCTTAAGAGTGGATCCATCAAAACTTCACGAAAGAGCACCCCATCAGTTAAATCTAATATAAGAGGGAAAAAAAACAAGCATCAGATGAATTTTCAATTCACAACTCATCCCATCAAATCTCGATTTTGGAATTTCTTACATTTGATTTTAGTTCTGGTCGGACTCGAAAGATCTTCAAATCGAACGGTATAACCCACCAAATCACCTAACCCCTCACCCATCTCCTGAGCCACTCTCTGAGCCAAATTAATCACCGCTACTCTACGAGGTTGAGTACAAGCAATCTTTTGGTTTTGAGAAGACCAACCAGCTTGGTATAAGAATTGAGTGAGTTGAGTTGATTTACCAGATCCTGTTTGACCAATAATGATGTTGATGGGATATTTTTCTATGGAATATAAGATCGAAGTTCGATTTGAATGAATTGGTAATGAAAGATTTGATTTGATGGAAGATGTTAGGATGAATGAATGAGTATCGTTGGTTCTATCGATTGAGCTACCTGGATTGATAGGATTGATGGTTAGTATGATGATGGTTTGAAGTTGAGAGAGATTTGCTTTACCTGGTGCTACTGTTCCTGGTTTCCAAAAACTCATCTTGAATTGTCGTTGTTGATGTTGGTTTTGTTGACCATCACGACCATCAGTCAAGTTGGATTGAGATGAATTTCGATCAAACTACAGTTTTCGATTGCAAACTGTGTTTTAGTTAAAGTGATTTGTAATTTGATTTTTGATTTTTTTAATCAAATCGGTCAACAAGTCAATGAATCGAAATTTCAATTCGATCATCAAATCCATTCCATCCACTCTTCATTCTCAACCAAGACTAACCATCAAAAGAAACCATTTCAAGTCCAAAATGACAACTCAATCAAAACAACACATCATTAAAAAAGATGCTCATCCATTCGATCGTACTCAAATCGAAGGTTTACTCATCAAACGTTTCTTTTATGCTCCTGCTTTTGAAAACTATGGAGGTCAATCTTCTTCATCTTACACATTCATTCATCTAGATTCAAATTCGCTAACCAATCTGATGTCTTTTCATTTAAACAGGTGTAGCAGGTTTGTAAGTTTTTCAAAACCAAAGCTTTTTTCTCAAACAAAAACTCTATTCAACTTACCTTGACATCTTTTGATCGATTGATTCTAGTTATGATTATGGTCCACCAGGTTCAGCTTTACAATCTAATATCTTAAATGAATGGCGACGTCATTTTATTATAGAAGAAGATATGTTAGAATTAGATACCACGTGTATCACTCCAGCAGAAGTGCTCAAGACATCAGGACATGTTGATAAGTTTTCGGATTGGATGGTCAGAGATACTGTTACAGGGGATATCTTTAGAGCTGATCATTTGATAGAAGCTGTCATTAAGTCTAGATTAGATTCTGATTTACAAGCACGTGGTTCGAAACTCGATGTAACCGAACAAACCTTAAACAAGAAGAAAAAGTTAAAATCATTAGCACCGGTGAAATTAACCGATGAGATCGTACAGAAATATCATTCACTTTTAGCACAACTTGATAATTTTACGGGTCCTGAATTAGGTCACTTGATCGAGTCAGAACAGATCACTTCACCAGAGACGGGTAATAAGCTTTCAACACCTATTGAATTTAATTTAATGTTTGAATCTCAAATCGGTCCGACTGGTCAATTAAAAGGATATCTAAGACCTGAAACAGCTCAAGGACATTTTTTAAATTTCAATCGATTATTAGATTTTAATAATGGAAAATTACCATTTGCATCAGCTCAGATTGGACGATCGTTTCGAAATGAAATCTCACCTAAACAAGGTTTATTAAGAGTACGTGAATTTACAATGGCCGAAGTGGAACATTTCTTAGATCCGAAATCAAAAGATCATGAAAAGTTTTCATCGATTGCCAACACAAAACTTAAATTATTAACTAAAGGAATTCAATCAAATGGTCAATCTGAAATTTTAGAAATCCAAGTGGGTAAAGCAGTCGAACAAAAGATTATAGATAATCAAACACTTGGTTATTTTTTAGTTAGGATTTATGAATTTTTAATTAAGATTGGAATTGATGATTCTCGATTGAGGTTTCGACAACATATGGATAATGAGATGGCACATTATGCTACCGATTGTTGGGATGCTGAAATCCTTTCTTCGTATGGATGGATAGAATGTGTTGGATGTGCAGATCGATCGGCTTATGATCTAACGGTACATTCGATTAGGACCGGAACGAAATTAGTCGTTAGAGAACCTTTGAAAGAAGGCATTGAGTTTGAAAAGAACGTACCGGTGTTTGATAAGAAATTGTTTGGACCTAGGTTTAAGAAGGATGCTAAACCGATTGAAGAGAGTATGATGGAAATGGATCAAGAAAGATTAGAATGTATTGGAAATGAATTAAGTTCGACTGGGTAGGTGATTCATTTTTTAAAGGAGATGATTTCTTGAGAAACTAATTTGACGGGTTTGGTTTGGTTCTGGATTTTGGATTTAGTTCATCCAAAGTCAAAGTATCAAATGGAAAGGAATATGAATTAACATCTGATGTGTTGAAGATTGAAAAAAGGACATTCAAAGAAACAAGTAAGTGAATCAGAGTCTCTTTCTGGTTTTAAAACCGATTCAATTAATGATTTTCTTTTTCATCAACGGTTTCGAATAGCAAGAGAATTTACACCAAATGTGATTGAACCTTCGTTTGGGATCGGAAGGATCTTATACTCACTTCTAGAACATACCTTTTGGACTAGAGAAGAAGATATTAATAGAGGAGTCAGTTGATGTGGGATTGATGAGTTTCTAGGTTTGGAAAACTGATTTTGGTCTGGTTTGATTTGATTGACCCAACAATAGGTGCTTTCTTTACCACCATCGATTTCACCTATTAAAGTTTTGATTGTTCCATTAAGTGGTACAGAAGTCTTTAGACCGATCATAAAGATCATTTGTAAGTGGCCAGGATGAATTGAATTGAGTGATTGAAAGACAAAATCACATTGGTTTAAGTTGATGTGATATTTTTTGGTCTGGGGCTTTGGGGAATTTTTAAGCTGACAAACTTAGGAAAGTGGGATTGGCTAATCGGGTAGATGATTCGAATGCATCGATTGGTAAACGGTATGCAAGAAATGATGAATTAGGTACACCTTTTGGGATCACTGTTGATTTCGGTTCAGTTAAAAATCAAACCGTTACTCTAAGGTAAGTGAGAAAGAGAACCAAAAAAAAGAAATCTTTTCTCTTTCCAAAACAAAAATGGAGTTAGTTTTTGATGATGATGAATTTTGGGTTTTTTTTTGGTTTATAATAGAGAAAGAGATTCTACTAAACAATTGATTGGTTCGATTGATGAGGTTTTAAAGGTTTTAGAAGATTTATGTTTTTGTAAGATTCAATGGGAAGAAGCTTGTGAAAGATTAAAAGAATATAGTGGAACTCAAGATCTTGATTAAACAAAATCAAAAGAAGAAAGCAAGAAAAAATCAATCGAGCGGACGGGCGGGCGGACGGTTTTTTTTTCCCCATTGGGTTTTTGATGTGGTTTTTTTGTTCTTCTTTCTGTAATTGAAAAAAGAAAAGAAAAGTTTTTTTGTGGTGGTGGTGGTGGTGGTGGTGGTGGTTGAGATAGAGGGATTTTGGAATTGGATTTAGATTATATGGAATTGGATTTTGATTTTTGATTTTTTTTTTCAAAGAAGTCATTAGATTTATGAAATGTTGAGGCTCTTTTATACCAATTTAAAGTTCAAGACTTGAAAATGTCTTGATAAAATCCTTAACCCGATTGATTTTCTCCATTCCTATGAATTTAGTATACAATTTTTTTCAATCCTCATTGAGGAATTGGAAAAAGATGGTTTTATGGATACACAAGTTGATTAAGAATGTCTCTTGGTTTCATTAAGTTTGAGTTGCCTCTTCTGATGTGGTCATGTCTGATCTCTTGAGGAAGGGCTTATGACTCAAACCTTGGGTTTGGCCTGAGCACAGTAAGATTTTCATGTACATCGGGTTGAATCAGTCGTATGAGGGCTCCAAACATCATGAAACCTCACAAATACACTAGAAGAGCTTGCTCAAGGGCTTCTTTGTTTCCTTGTACCACTTTGATCATGTCAACAATTGAGGATTGCAAGTAAATTGTACTTCAAGAGCAAGTGATTTTGAACAGATCAAGCATGCCAGTAGATCCTGTATTGAAGAAGAGCCAGGTTTTGCAAAACACAACTGCTTGGCTGTGTCAGTTTTCTCAAGTAAAGTGGTGTTAATGGTACCAGCACAAGCATGTGTACAAGGTAATTTATAAGAATCTCTGTTGATTTTTTTTGTGAGGTTAGATGATGTCTATGTAGAGCCCTCATATTGGATTTCAATTCAAAGTACTTGGAAATTCTGCTGTGCTCAATCCAAAGCCAGGGTATTAGTCAAAAGCTCCTCCTCAAGAAAGCACATGTGGCCATGTTAGAAGAGGGGCTTACATAAAGGATCTCAATGATAAAAATGTAGGTAGAATTTCCAATTGTAGTCTTGCATGAACTATTGAGCAGTTTTGATTTCAATTGAGTTGATTGATCTTTGCGTCAAAAATTAAGTCACCCTGTTGACCAAAGTGATGATCTAGGATGACCCGGGTGATTTCTTGATTTCCTACCTCGCTCACTTAAGTTTTCCTCGGTTTCCTTCAACTTTTTAAAACCACCTCGACCCTGAGCATAAGGAAACCAATCAATCAAAGAAACCGCGAAGATCACCTCGTGGTACAACGCGATTGATAAGACACGACGAAACCGAGAATCTCCTTTATATCGCTATCATCGGACCCGCGGAACGCTCTTTTGATCTTGAACCTGCAGCTGCCAGGACTGAATGCCCTTCTCAGCCGTTTGACTACTCCAGGACTCAGGAGTTCACCGGCATCCATCATCCACAGATGAGCTAATGTCAAGCGTTGCTTATCAGATCAATGAGCTTGGGATGAATTACCCACATGAATCCGCGTCCATTTCCTGATATGTATTGTTTGCGCGTTAGCCTGGATCGGCTCGGGATTCCGCTCAACTCAACAGAGTCGCTCTCTCCTCGCGGGTTGTCGAGCAAGGGATTGTTGCACACAGAGGTACAAGTGGAGATCCAAATTTTGTCCACTTGAACGAAGAGGCCTGCACTGGAATTCCCAGAGCACTGGATGAAAGGGTTTTTCAACCAACATGACAACTGTCACTTCGTACTGCTCGATCGAGCGCTTCAACTACCGCACTGAAATAAATGGATGACCAAGAAGAGCATCCGGAGAGGTCATACAATTCACATCGAAATGTACAATTTCACAAGAGATATGTAACATCATACCAGGAAATTAAAGGTACAAATGTTTGCTTTTATCTTCTGGCTTGTCAAGATGTTGGGAATTTCCAAGGTTATTGAGAATCTTCAAAAGACAATATGGTTGTCATAAGGAACTTGGATCTCACAAATCATGAACACGTCTATCTACGATAACAAAAAAAACGTCAGCAGTACTTAGTCGTGGAGCTTGAAGGCACGACCCTCACTATGTCCCAGTAGCTCGGTGTGCTTTATCAGAAGGTGATAGTGTGATGAGATGCAGGTTACTGGGGTCATTCAGTCGTGATGTGCCATCGAGTCCAATCTTTAAACATCGCAGACAAAGCTACTCAGCGCTCTCATCTCTATGAAGCCACCACAGCTGGCGGATGCATGCTATACTTGAATGATCAGAAGGAGGCCACACCCAAAAAAGAACCGAAGATTGATATTCTCCAGATACATTGGAGGTGAGAGGCCAAGAATCCATAAATTATCCATCCCATTGAAGCACTTTGGTGTGAAGAGGGGAAGCTGCAAACCTTTTGCACATGATGAAAAGAAAAAAATCCCACCATTTGGATAGCTTGAAGAAAAGCTATTCTTGTTAAAGATGTTCAGGTAGAGCCCGGGGCCGTACGTAATCCACAAAAATATGCAATAAACATTCACTTTGCATCGACCAGAGACTTTGTCATTAGACAGTGCCATAGCAGAGAATATTTCCTTCAGTAGACCACTGGTAAGTAGACTGAATACTGGATAGGCCCAATGTGTTGTACGTTCCAACCAAAAACCGTAGAGAAAATGACAATAATGGGGATCAATGCCAGACCAAGTCTTCAACACAAAGTTGCGATTGTGATAAAACATTTATCGCCATTGTTAGAAAGACGGGATGAAGCACAAAAGTGTTCAGGCGCCAACATAGGTCATACAGTGACGCGTCTTCCGGGGGGTGGTATGGCATAAAAAGGTCGTTTGAAGTAATGGAAGGAACTTACCAATTTGTGGTTTTGTATAGCAAATCTGTTTGATTGAAAAATCTAAAGAGCTCATGAAGCCGCTGAACATTAATCTACTCCAAATATGTTGACTTGGGGCGTCTCGGCGATCACTAAAGAAATAAATTTGAAAGATTTAAAGTATTTGTTTGATTTTTCCATCGCGAATGAATTAAAACAAAATAAGCAAACCCAGTACGGAGAGCAAATTACAGACTTCCCGCGGCATCTTATTAGAAAAATGCTCAATAGAAGAAATTTAAACTTTTCTTCTTGTGCATTGTATCAAGGAGCTCATGAGGCTACTGAACATCAATCTATTCCAGATATGTTGACTTGGCGCGTATCAGCGATCAGTAGAGAGATAATGTCGGAAAGATTTCAAGTATCTGGTTACGTTTCATTGCGAATGTATCAAAGCAGAACAAAAAAAACCAGTACGGAGAGAAAAATTCAAACTGCCCGCGGCATCTTTAAGAAAATACTCAACAGAAGAAACTCGAAATTTTTTCTCGTGTATTGTATTTGGTCGCGCATTTTCAAAAAAGCGAATCAAAATGTATCATATTCTTCATTAGCATATTTTTTCCAAGATGCTGATCATATGACTGTACAAAGACATGAGGTTGGTTCACTCCTGAACCCAAAAGTGATCATCCTTTTCCACTCAAACCATATCCTTCATCATACTCGAAAACAACCCATTTCCATACTTCTCCAATCCGACCTTCAAATCCCTTTCTATCCCACTTTTCCATCAACCTCAGTATGACTCATCCTAATCTCCCTAGTCGCTCTCGTCGTGTTGATCCTTCGTCTCAAATACCTCTCTCTCCGATTTCAGAGGTATCCTCCAATTCTCTCTATATTGATTATGTTCAAATTCCTTCCGCTTCTGCTCCTGGAGACCTCAACTATAACAATGTTCTTCAGAGCACTCCTATCTCTCCTGAACATCCTCCTCTAGAATTTGACCAAATTTTCATTCGACGTTCTCGAAAACGCAATGCCGTCTTATTAGAACATGGTCTTCCTTCTGCTCCTTCTATTCCTTCTGCTCCTTCCGTTCCTTCTGCTCCTTCCGTTCCTTCAGTTCCTTCTGCTCCTTCCGTTCCTTCCTCTCCTTCCGTTCCTTCCGTTCCTTCTGCTTCATCTCCTGCTAAAAGAAGACGTAATGAGGCCTTGATTGGGAATCGCAATGCTATCTTTGTGGAAGACGGACTTCCTTCAGTTGTTCGTGGTACATCTCCCACTCGACGAAGACGTAATGCGGTGATCTTTGAGAACGGTTACATTCCTACTCATCATCAACATTTCATTCAAAACACTCCAAGTTCTCAACCCAAAGACTCTGATTTCTCTGCTTCTCAAATCGCTCAAGCTTTACTAAAATTTAGAGATCAAGAGCTGGCCCTTGCTGATGAAAGTTCCGAATGGGACTTGAGTGCTTTTCATTCTGATGAAGACGTTGATCTGGGTACTAAATCTGGAGTTGAGGCGTAGCTGGTGAGTAGTCTGCTTGTGTTTTTGAAAAGTTCAAATAAGACTTTATTTTTGGGGTGTTTCTTTGGGTTTTGATGATTTACTTGGAGGTATAAATGTGGATCGATGTTGATTAACAAGAAAAAGTAAGTCAATCTATAATTGATCTTCTGAACATTTCGTCTTACTGACTCTTCTTCCATTCGAACAGCGATTGAAGCGTCAATTGTAACCCCTATCGAAGGAAGTTAAGATGTAGATGAAATCTGTTTGTAGAAGGACATTCAAAAAGTACAAAAAAGATCTAAATATTTCAGAGATGCATTTTTGATACATTCCTTTTGTGGCTCATTTTCAAAGCCTTTTCCTTTAGAGCTCATATAACTCTTTGATACTTGCGAATAAATATTTTTGATTCTTTGATTTGACCAAGAAAAAAAACATCTTCCAAACGGATTGGGTTTGGTTTATTGATTAGTGTCTTTTTATATGAAATGTTGTCTATTGAGATGAGATGTCAAAGAATGAATGGACCTTGAAATTGACCTACCATTTACCTGGAAATAAATGAGCTTATCGCGCCTTTTTGGCTCAAACCTAGGAAAACGTCACTTTAGTGTTGTTGAAGTAGGACCATCCCCCCTTGAGATGATATGCTAAACACTAGATAGGCATCGCACTTATCGAATCTGTTCTTGCAAATCTGATCTTCTTAAACCCATTTGCTTTCAATATGTACATTTCAAGACTTCTGGACTTGGTCATGATTTCCTTTTGAAGAGATAGTCATATTTAATCTACCCAAGATTTGATACCTCCCAATCAAAAATCATATCATTCCTATAAACATTTATGTAAATCACCTCTGGTTCTATACTTTTACACATCTATTCTTGTAAAGATTTCTTCAAACTTGATATATAAGATTTGAAATTCACAGACAAAATATTATAAAACTTATCAAATATTCAACAAAAAAATCAAAACATTGAACAAACTTTCAATTATGATATATATTTTTATCACTAAATCGATCTGATTTAACTCTCTTCAAACCTTTCACCCAATCTTTTGATCATTCTTCCTGAATATCTATGCACAGATTGTATACTTTTAAGATTGGTTTTTATTCTTATTCGTATTGTAAAATGGATGAATTTCATTGGAATCTTTCACAACTTGAGAAAATCTCAAATTATTCATCTATTCATCCTAAAACCGATTGTTTTCTTTTTGTGAAGAAAAGCAATGAGCTAGTTAGGATCCATGATGTGTTGAATTCAAATGTCTTTTGTTTCCTCTGGGCTGACCGGAGAAGTTTCAAGGAATGATTGGGTATAATCATGGAATCCATAATCATTCTCATATCACTCAATCGAGTTTCGCCCCCCTACTTTAGGTACACCGCTGTGTGAGGTGTTTTTTCACTCTACATCGAAAAATTAGGATCGGGGTCTGTTTCAGAGCTCGCATAATCGGGTGACCGCTGTGGATGCTCCAAGCATATGCTTTCATACACACAAGTTGTTTTACGCTGGTCGATTTTTATGTTAGTCGAAATGATGATTAATAAAAGGTGATCGCTGAGGTGATGACTGATGGCCACAAACACTTTGATGTACATACTCTGATCTGACCAATCACTTGAGAAAGCAGCTTTGGTGTTCATCTTCTGGTGATTGATGTACAACCATTGGAAAATCAGAAATGAATGCTTTATGCAAGTTGACATGCATCTCATCCTGGTTCCCACCCGGAACTTGAAAGCATTTCCTCATAGGCAAGGATCGGCCAGGAGAGATCGTATTTTGATTTCAAGATGTTCACCCCTTTTTTAAAATTTGTGACTCGACTCTCCTTGATCATTGAAGAAATAAAGATTGGCGAACAATGAAGATATCAATCGACAATCACATCCACAAACAGGGTTAGTCTAGATTATTCAAGATGATAAGATCACTTTGAAGAAATCAAACAGGAGTATCCCTCCTCTTTCGTCCTTGGCCATGTTTTGAATCTCAAAGGTTGATATAGCTTCCCTTGATTGCAATTTGATAGACAATCAACATCCAGCATTTTAACTGGATCCAATCTTTTGTGAAGTTGTGATCACTTCGAACACGCCATAGAAAGCTCAAACACAGCTATCAAACTTCTTCATCTTTTCTATCTTTCCTTAGGCATCGAGATGATAGAACGCTTAAAATCAGCTATCATGAATGACTCAGTCTTTCAAACATTCTTAAATCCTCAACAACCTATCACTTGTCAAACTCCATCACTTTCGATCATACCCATTTTACTCTTACTCTTTTTTCAATGTTCATTATTACATCCTCAACTTGCATTTAATCAAAACTTACGTTTAATAAGATTAATTCTTACTCCTATCAATTTCTGGTCATCTTTAAAAATTTCAATAGATTATTGTTTTAAACCATTGGATCAGAGTGGAATTTTTAATTTTTTCTTTAGTTGTTTTGGAATTCATTTATCACTTAAAAGTTTAGAATGGGGTTTAGCAGATGATCATCAACTTAAAAAAATTCATCAAATCCGTCATGAATTTGATTTAGATGATGATGATTCTAAAAAATTGAAAAAGAATGATGATGCTGATGAATCGATTGAAAATGATAAGAAATCTTCTGATCAACTCACTTTAGAAAGTTGGTATATCTGGACAGTTGATCAATTTCTCTCGTTCGTCATTTTTCTCATCATCATCTTCTAGTCTCATTCAAATTTCTATACTTTGTTCCCTACCGTGGTCCGTATATATATCGAATGCGGATGGGTGGGCTCTGATACCATGATACTATCTTTCCTTGCATTCTGATATAGCGCTCGGGGATTCCAATACGGTTGGGGTAGCCATGTTCAACCCAACACACGTAGCGCCATGGAAGTCTTCAAGCGCTTGGTGAAAGTTCACATTGTTCATGTCGCTGTAGTAGCGTACTCGGTATATATCAGAGATATCGGTTCAATCAGCAAAGTTCTAGACTCTATCGGATTACCAAATCATTTAGTATTTAGAATTCTTACAGACTCGATTTCTACATTCGCCTTTGGACTTTATATAGTTTCAATAACAGATATATCATATAATTATTATACACTTTTGGCTTATTTGATTTCATCTTTTAATCAATCATTACCAAATTGGATCAAAACTTCTTATAATTTAAAATTATTTTTACCTCTTTATAATTCACCTCATTTAACTAATTCTTTAAATGATTTATGGAGTTTACATTGGCATCAATTATTTAGAAGAAGTTTTATTTTTATAGGTGGAATTCAGTTTTCAAAATTATTTAAATTTCTGGGATTTAATAAGCAACTTCAAAAAATTGCTGGACTTCTTGGTTGTTTTTTGGTTTCTGGAATTATGCATGAACTTGGTAAGTCAAATTCATTTCTCATAAAGACTTTCAGGACTCAGAACAACTCAATAAAAAACCAATATTGATTGCATTTTTTTTGCTAGCTATTCATTTTGTGGCTAGATCACCTCATTCAAACCCTCACTATTTCTTTAACAGCTCAGGATTTCCTGGTTCATTATTATATTTCATGTTACAACCTGTTGGTATGATTATAGAGTCAATGATATTAAAATACATTCCAAATCCTATCATTTGGGTATATGTGTTCACCCTAATTACTGCAACTCCTTTTAAAAATCAATATTTTAGTCAAAACAGGTTACTTGATGATGTTTATCCTCCTCTAGCTGAATGGAATTATGTTTCATTTTTGGTACCTCTTGGAATGATGAAATTTAGGTAGTTTTAGTGTATTGTATCTTTAGTTGCTTATGGGTCTGGTTGTTTATGAGCTTTGATATCCTTTTCTTTTGATATGTTTGGAATTGCACATTGATTATTTCTGCCTGTACATATCTTCTGATCGATAGTCTTAGCATAAGGAATCTTTGAAAGTTGATTCAGTTTCAAGTCTGGATATGAGGTTGATCATTTTTATGAATATGCCATATACACAATAAATGATCAACTTCAAGAGATACAGGCTCAAGACCGGATAACAAAGTTTATTTTTTGTCTGTAGCAAAAAAAATTGAGGGGAGTCTTGAAGATTGCCGCGTTCTTACTCGATTCAAAAATTTATTTGAAGGTCATGATCGTCAAGATTTACCTCAAGTCTCACCAACAGACAAAGGATAAGCATCGATGTTGCAAGTCTGTTTCTCTTGAAGCGCATTATTTATTACATATGCCACAAATGAACTCAACAAGGAGGAAATCAAAATGTAAGGTATTCAAATTGATTCAGATCAGATCAGACCTAGGTACTTTCACCTGCAAGAAATCATGTGCAACCACCACTTCAAGGTCTACTTCATCTTTTTCCTTCCCACATCCTGCTTTCCACCCATTCACGGCATCCGCTGCCACCGATTCAATCCACTTGACCTCCTGGAATACTTTGCCCTGACGTTCGTCATCCATCTCTTCATATGTCTTCCAAAGACCCGAAGCCGTTGATTTTAAGCAAGTATCGTATATTGTCAATGACTCTCTTTCACCCCGATCAACCCGAGGAAATTCCGAAATCTTAGCGAGTTCCGGGCTGGGGCAAACACATCCCAAAGGACTGGGAAACTTGCCGCCAACATGGTTCATCACCATCCGTTTGGCATTGATCTGACGGGCAAACTGACCGGCCATGAAGGAAGTCGAATGTCCTCTATCCCTCATCTTTTGTGCCACACTAGCCTCATTTGTATCTGAAGCTGAGATGATACTTGGGTTAAGATCAACCACAGAGGTGCCGGTAGATTCGTGAACCAGGAGATCAATCTTTTGATCAGGATCTTTGGACGTGAGAGCGAGTATTGGGGTGGGATCCGAAGTATCACCCAGGATCACCACCTTGCGGCCCTGAATGGAAAGCTTAGGAGGATCAAGAGTTACACCGCTGGAGAATGTAATGGGCTTACGATCTTGCTCAAGCTTGCTCAAGATCGCTTGGGGAGCTATAGATAAATCATGTTCCAGATTGTTATCAGACTCTATCGTGTAGCGGTTTCGATAGTTGGTCAGGCAATCAATGAAATGGCTTGCCTTTGAAGCCCATCTGCTTGATTTCATCAGCATGCTCCCGAATAATCGGGTTCAACTTTGACATATCGAATTTTTCTCTTCGATTGGCTTCGACCAGCATATACCCTACACAATCAACTAATATAAAACAGAAGCAAGAAAAAATCGATCAGGACACATTTTCTGGCGCTTCATGATGCCATGGAAAAGTTGTCAGTATGGATGTATTGGTGGACGCACTCCGGTGTGCGATTGGTGCTGCACCCACGCTCACTCCTGCTTCATCCATTCCCACAATATCTCTCCAAACCCCGTCCTCATCAGCCCAGATATCTTCTCCGAGAATTTCAGTGTGCCACAGTCGACCGTCGGGCTTGCTCTGAGAGGGACCATAAACACGATCTCGCGATGGACGTAGAAGCTCGTTGATTTTTACTTTGAGAGCGGCATGAGTTTGTGTAAGACGGAGATTGGTGCGAACGAATTCACGGATACCAGAAGGGCCAAAAATCTCGATTGATGCACTCGGGTTCTGTGCAAGGCATACACAGATAAAGACTTGTTAGCTGTGTGTGCAAAAAAGGGGGACAATGCACTTAAATGCAGCTTGGCGAAGCAGGTCTCTTGTAAGTGTTGGTAATGGGCTAGTGGAGAATGAGAAAAAGGAAGGGCCACAACACCTCACTGAAAAAGGATGCTGGTTTTCGCTCATCAGGTCTGCATCAATTCGATCACTAATATGAGCCAAAAAGCTGATCAACCCTAAAACATGATCACCTGTTGAGGTATTTGGCGAGAGTTACGCAAGAAAGCGAGCCGTAGTCAAGATCAGCACAATCACTGGTGCACATCATTGATACTGAAGCGAAATGCGAACCGTGGAGGTGTGTAATAAATATTTTTTTGACGTTGCTAGCCTTGAGAGTTGTACGCATCATCTGGTGTGTCGTGGCCTCTCCACAATCGAACATCCAACTGTAAGGATGATGGGGCGATCAATAACGCGACTTGTCTTTTACTCCACGTGTGTTCGGAAGTTGAAGTTGAAAAATCACATGTCACCATCCATGCGCACAGCCAAAGAAGAAGGGTTCCTGAACGTCGTTGGCTTTCCTGCGACAAAGAACGCGACGCTAATCTGAGCCTTTAAATACTGCGGTCTTCATCACAGGCCGTAAGAGTAGGCGTACCAGCAGATGTACCAAGAAAATTGACCTCGAGCTGGTCAGGTGGACTGTTAGCGCGACTCATGTTGGCAGGTCTTGGTCGTTTCTCAGTTCGAGGTAGATATCGATGTCGATTAAGATAGTCAACTTGCGTAGGGCTTAGTTTGTAACGATCAAGTGGCCGCGAGAGGAAGCGATTGGGTCGAGCTTTAGGCTTGAGTTGAGAAAAGGCTTGATTAAGAAGAACGAGACTAGTCATCTCAAGGTATCGATGAAAAAACTCCCACAAAAAACATTTCTTGTCATACACATATCTCGAGCCCGCAGTCTGCACTATCCCGCACGAGTGCATGCCCGTCTAGACACCCAACACAATTCTTGCATGGCTAGCCCACCAATGGTCAAGACTCACAGTCGAGAGAAGCTAAATGGTATGGAATACGCCCTTGATCTGGCATGGAGTAAACTTATGAAGGAAAATTCATATGCAAAGACATCCTGTTGAACACCCATCCACTGTGATTTACTTCCCATCAGCCGTAGAGCAGACCTTTTTTCACCTTGACTCAACCTAGGGGTCTGGCTCAGGGAAGCCAGCTACTAGATATTTTGACCTATTGATATCCAATGTGTTCTTCTACAGTCAATTCAGAAAAGCTTGTTGCAAATTCCCCACCAATTGGCTCGAGTTTTGCAGGCAAAATTGGTCAAGCAGGTGACAGTAAGTTTTCCGATGAAGTTGCAAGATGAATATAATTCCATATGAGAGATCCGGATATTACTACGCTTATTCTTGAAGTACGCAACCTTCAAAAGGTTTGCACAATTTGCAATGGATAATAATCTACAAGAGTCTCTTGAGACTTGTGATTCTTGACTGATGCCTGTCCAGTGTGATGCTGTGGATTAAAAAGATGATAAGTCAATCATTATTGCCTATTTTGCATCAATATTCACCTTCCTCCCACCAATCCTTTATCATTTGGGGAAATTGGTGCAATTTTGATTGATGAATTCTTCAATATTGCAGCAGCAGAAGGACATAAATTTCTTGCAAGCTCAACCAGTGGTGGCTTGCTAAGGCTTTAATGAGATCTACAGGTAGAGATTTCTTAATCTGAGAAGATTGATGATCTAATGTCAGTCTACGCAAGAGACTGATATGATCAAAAAGAAATCACAATCTAAAGTAAACAAAGATTGTGAAAATCTGATGATGAGTTTGATGAGAAAAAGAACAACAAAGTAAGAAGAGTACTGTTGTATCTATATGAATCAACCAAACACATTATGATGTCATGATGTTAGAAAGAAATAAGAGAAACCTCAAGTGTTATGCACAAACAGTAATACGTGTCCTGCATTCTAACGAGACATCATTCCATGACTCTCAATTGCTTTAAGCTGAGAAATGTTTTTGACCTTACCTTAGTTTAGCCAGGCTCCACTAAAACAAAAGCTGCTAACACTAATTTTTAGCGCGCCCCACTAACACTAAGAGAAATGCTTAGCTCTCAAATGTGTAACCCGCTAAGCTAAGTCAATTAGCTTGCAAAAAAATACACAAAACCACTAGAAGCGGCAGCAGCACTTTTCTGCATCAACAATCAAAATTTCAATTTCTATCAGTCCATCATAAACAGTCTGCAAATTACTGGTACTACAAAGCTCTTCATTTTATATCTTCATTGTATAATTCCCTTTGCCGCATTCTCAGCTAGCACACTAGCCACAATAATCCAATCACCGGTCATTTCCACTTTTTCATAAAGCCACTAGAGGCAACCAGTGTTTTGCTCAATGGTCTGTGGTGCAAACTGACCTCAATTTGCTGAGAAAACATCAGCAGCCGCTGAACAGGACCTCTCCACAGCAGTTGACAAAGCTGGGATTGCTAAGTAGTCATGTGCCATTCAGACAAGGACTGGATAATGATGTTTGGGGTCCTACAATGAGTTAGATATACAATGACTTACTTTCCACTATTGCAATACACATTCTGGATCAATAGCCTGATTATCCTCTCCTTGTTGAAGAACAGTTTCAATCCAGACACCCCTTCAGCTCCTCTGTACACTCAGTATGAGGTTCATGGCTGAAGAGTTGACATACAGATGGCACCTTACTGCTTGAAATTGATACCATCATTTGGAATCAAGCTTGGAATGCTTGGTCTTGTAAGATTCATACGCCTTGGTAAACGCTGTAAGGGTCTCCACCGTATTGTGATCTTGAGGACCAAATGTTTTTTCAAAGAAGCAGTGTCAAAGAAGTGGGTTTAAGTTGGTACTAGTAGCAATAGTGAGACTCTTGCACTTAAATGCTTCAGTCCAATACTGTAACATCCAGACAACCAATTCTGTGGTCATAGGAGATGGGAGTTTGTCCTTGTCTACCATAGTCTTCTGTTTTTTGAGAGAATCCAAATATATAGAATACTCAGGTCTGACAATCAATTTATCCAAGATGCACTTTGGGTCATGCTACAAGTTAACACACAGTAAGACACTTTTGAAGTTGAACAAAAATATTAACAATGTATGTATATGATAAACAAGAAGAACCAAATAACTTACATTCTTGTACACGCCCCCACACCCAGGAATTGTAATCATTGGGTCAGGGACAAACCCTAGCCCCACAACTGCAGAACTTGAATGACTACATAAATCACTTAGTAATAGAGGGGACTGTACAGAGTGGCTATTGTGTTCTTTCTGGGAGCCAAATCCCTAATTGTTGCAGCAAAAGATATGCAAATCCTTTGTGTATTTTCATTTTCATCCAAATTATTATCATGTGCTTCTTCTGAGTCACTATGATAAGCCTCTTTGGGAAGCTAATTGGGATCAATGCTGCCACAAATACACTACCAGTATTGGTATTGTACCTGTATCATAGTTTTCAGTGGGTGCTGTAGCCTCAGTATCAGTATCTGATCCACATGTATGTTGATGTCTAAGCAGGTACTTTACCAGGTATTGTGTTGGTGTGAGGGTTGGGTGCTCTGATGAGTACTCAAGGCTCACTAAATTGGGCAATGTAGGGATTTATAGTTTGTAATTGATTAATTATATTTCAAATATAATGTAAGTACAACTAGAAATATAGAAAAAGAAGAAGAGGGGAAAAGAAGACTGGTCTGTTTGGATGAATCCAGACAGACTACAGTTAGTTGACTCCTTAAAAGGAGGTTTATAATTATAATATGTAAAAGTTATAATTATTGAAGGTTGGATCCAAGACCTTCCTTTAATCTTTATATAACAGATTAAAGAGTGAGATGAAGGTCACTACTCTGGTTGTTCTTAAAGTCACCAGCCTGAAAGTACTTGTATGTAGGTCACTAGCCTTGGGTTGTTGGAAGGTCACCAACCTAAAATAGTTTCTACTTGGGGAAAGTAGAGGATCCAGGGGGGTGAAGGAATTCCTTACTTTTAATCAAGGAACTGATTAAAGAAATGAAGATATCACTAGTCTTATATTTATAAGACTCTTGATGTTTCTTCAGTAGAACTTTAATTGTTCTTAAAAGTAGTGTGTAATAAAAATCTTGGGGTGGAATCTCTGAAGGCTGAGAGAGGAGGAGCTTATATACTCTCCTCTCCAAACCTAACTGTAGTGATATTTGTTTGTATCACTACAGTGGTTTAGGGCTTAATTATTACTGTTAGTTATGATTATTATTAATACTACATAATTACATATACGTGTTATGTAATTTATTTAGTATAAGCATTTTAACTCTTGACACTGAGTTATGAGGTGTCATTAGTGTTTTATTACATATTACATATTGTTTTTAAATGTATATGTATATGTAATTAGGATGTATGTATGATTTATTACAAGTTACATATGTTTTGTAAGGCCTATGTACATGCAATTAGTTGTCTTAAAGGTGGTTATCTATGTTACAAGTTAGTCTTTGGGTACATACATATGTACCCAGGGCTGACAGTTGGGGCCCAAGTACAATACCATCATGGGCCCCATGTAGTATTGAGTATTGTGCAAGTATCAATTGAACTCCAACATCAGGTCTAAGTGCCTTTGTCTTGGCACAGTGATGTTATCTGCACTCAATCCCATTCTATAGCATCCTTTTGTATCCTTTATAATCATTTCTCACTCCTCTGACACACCTACTCTTCTGACAACTGTCATTTTTTGTATGAAATGTGACCAGCAAACACATGGAACAACCAGATCCTCCCCTACCTTCCTGAATGAGCCAGAGTATGGTTGGATAGCTTTGATAACTATAGTATGGTGAATTTAACTTTGATCCTATGAAGCCTTTTCTTCAAGCACCGACAGTACTTGACACCATCTTTCTCTTTCTTCTAGTTTTTGTTTTTGTTACCCCTCAGGCTCCAAGTTCTTGCCCCAAGCCAATACCCCCAAATCCTTGTCAAAGTCCCCAAACCCACTCAGCTGTCAGTATTCAATGATCATACCTCCCACTGATTCTCAAAAGGCTGTTTCAAGAAAATACAAGTACCAGTTCAAAATCCAGGCACTCAGGAACCAAAAGGATTTTAAGTGTTGTCAAGCAGAAACTAAATCCAAGGATGAATTTGAAAAACAAAAACAAGTGGTAGCTCTGAAAGATTCCAACAATCATAAAGTAAGTACACAGAATCACATAAATACACACTTGCATTACCAACTACCATGGTATGTATGTCCACATCAGTCTTAGAGATTGTCTTTCAAGTAAAGAACACCCTTGGTGGTCAACTTTCCCAAAGAGTCGGAGGACAAACATGCTAAAGTTCAGTAACCAGCCAATAAGCATAAGAAAGAACACAAGGACATCTCAACCACAGATAGCACATGTAATCTTTCTCTTGAACCCTAGATGAGTTTTTGAGACCCAATCTTTGAAGGATTTTTTTGCAAGCAGAAATCAACTTCCTTGGGAGAAGAATAGTGTACATTGTGTGCAAGACCTCCACACACAATGTTCATTATGGGTCTAGCAGGACTGCTTGGTAAACAAAAGGTACAGAAAGCTTGTGAGGACATCCACAGTCAAACCCTCATTCCTGACCTTGGTCTATGTGTAAGTTTGGTGTAAGTTGCTTGCTAGGGCTTGGGTTGCAAGCAACAGTGTGGGACTTTGTTAAGGTTAAAAAAGTCCTATGAGGGTGAAAAGATGGAGAAGGGTGCTGAGAGAGGAGAATGTGGGGTGAGATGGTGTGGTAGTATGAATACAGAAGGAAAAAGATTCCTTCTGTTTGTACCACCCACTCTACTCAAATTTGAGCTGTCACCCTCTGAGTCTTTTTGACACCTCACATCCTTAGCAACCTACATGTGTATGGCACTGGGGTGTACTTTTACAGGCTTTTGGAACTCTCATTATGTGCATAGCTGTGCTAAAGCTAAGAAGCTTAGGTGACCCACTATCATGAGGGTGATTCATCAAAAATTTTGTGTTCCTGAGTGCAAA